GGACTGACCTGCCACTGACTTCTTTGTCTACTCCCTCAGGTTAAAGAGGAGGACAAAACTCTGCCAAAGCCTGGCCCTCCTGCTAAGGAGGAAGGGGCTGTAAGTGCTTCTCCAAGGCTCCCCGTGTGTATGTATGTCAGGGTGGGTTGGCTGCCTCCCCTGCCAGCTGTAGACTAGCTTATGATCCATTCCATGGAGAGGGTGGGGACCCAGGGGCCCCTTCCTGGTGCGGCATGACTAGAGGGAATGCCATACAGTGGCATATAGTACAGTATGTGTGCCATCAGCCTAGGGTGTATGAAAAAAAGTGGGAAAGCCAAGATATTTAGGCCTTGCCCTCTAACTTCCCTTCATCCCCCTTTTGTTGCCTACCTTTCTGGTTTCCCAAACCCTGTAGACTGGAGGGAGTCAGGCGGGCAAACTCTCAGGTCAGGGAGTACCAAAAGGTGCACTTAGCTGTTGGGCCTCTTCAGCCTGCTCTGGGTGGCACAAGACAAGAGCACAGAGGGATTTCACTGCAGCTGCTGCTGTCTCTTCAAGACCCCGTCAGCTGCTTGGTGCAGCAACCTTGAGGCTGGCTTCAGCTGCCCACTGTTCCCAGCCCCCACCGCTTCGGGCTAGAGACCCTAAATAAAGCTCGATTCTTCTAAGGCAGGAGGAGACAGACAGCTCCTGGGTAGCCAGGGCCAGAGTGAGAAGTGGGCTGCAGTTCGTGCAGAGGCAGGCGTGCCCATGGCTTTGGAGCGATCTGGATCACAGATCCTTCATGCTTCATTACCCCAGATGGGAGCTGTCCTGGCTGCCCCTATTTCCTTGGACAATTCGATTAGCCGGGCAATGTGGCTTCCTCTGGATCTGTAAATAGGCTGTGATTTCAAAGGGGTATATTTGAGTGACATGAAAGAGGGGCCTCGGAGTAGCCCAGGTGTGGTGTTGTGTTGTTTTGTTTTCTTTTTCTTTTTGGGGTGTGTGTGTAAAAATTACACATAAAGTGCTTAGAAAAATGCCTGGCATACAGAAGTATAACAGTTAGCAATTACTATCATGGGGCCATCATCCTCAGTTAGGAGAATGGCAGCAAAGCCAGAAGAGGGAAAGGAAGGCAGGAGGACCCAGTAGTTAGGGCCCTCTGTGCTAGGACCTCCCAATTCTATGCTCAGCCTGGGGATAGATAGCAGGTGATAGCTGTACCTGATTAAGCTATGTGGGAAAGAGAAGCGGAACTTGCCAGTGCCATTGTCCTACCTGGAAGAGGGAGAATTTCCTGGGGTAGCCTCTTAGAACTGTGTGTTGTTTGGTGGGTAAATGGAAGACTTGTCCCAGGGCTTGGGGTCACTCTTTTACTTCCTTTGCATGGGGTGGAAAGGGATGTGAGTTTGATGCTAATGCCTTCCTGTATTTATTTATGTGACTATAGCTAGAAGGCAGCTCTAAGGACCGTGGTGGCCCACCTAGGAGTCCTCAGCCTGCCACCAGCCCAGTACCCTCAGAGACTTCCCAGACAGCCAAGAGCCCTGCACCCACATTTGCCATGAATGGCCTGGGGGCCGCTTCAGCAGAAGGCCCAAGCGAGGAGACCCAGGGCCTGTCCCGGAAGCGGGTGGCGAGTGTAGTAAGGAAGGTGGTGAGCAAGGTCCTGCCTGGTGAGGAGACTGGGAGTGCCAAGGAGCCTGTAGGCCGAGGGGTCAAGTCTCCTGAGCACCCAGCTAGAGGCAAGAGGGGAGAAAAGGCAGCCTCTGGTCTCAAGCCACCACCTCCTCCTCCTCTTCCCCCTACCCTGCCGAAGCCTGAAGCAAAGAAGGAGACAGCCAAGGATGAGCTGTCAGTGGGCCTGCGGAGTCTCATGTCTCGGGGCCGAGGCAAGGACCACAAGCCCCATGGAAAGCAGACTCCTGGGAAGGGGGAGAAGCCTTCTGGCCAGGAGCCAGGCCTCTTGAAACCAGGCTGCCCATACCTGGACTCCCCAAAGAAAGCAGGCTCTCCAGTCAAGCCTGAAACCCCAGAGAAGCAGTGTTCCCCAGCCCCACCACAAGAACTGGCAGACACAGGCTCCACTGGCCCGAAGGTGAACCTCACTGGAGAGCAGCAGGCCAAGTTACCAGCCCCTGGCGTGCCGCAGGAGGTATCTGTGTTTGCCACTAACTTCCCATGCCCATTCTCGCTTGAGGGCCAGGCGCTGTTGTAGCAAGCTTCCCCAGGACTCAGAGAGCCCTGCATGACAGGCTGGTTGACATCCACATGTCCAAGCAGGGCCTGCATGGCTTTCCTGGACTAAATATGGGAACCTGCGATATCCTGGGCTCTGGCAGCTGGGGTGGGAACTGCTAACTAGCATGCTGCAGACCTTGCTGTGGGAGTCAGGTCTGGGTCACCAGCCACATGGGCCAGCTTGAGGCTCCAGATCCCACGTTGAGGATTGGATTCTTAGCAGATCAGTACTGAGCAGAAATTAGGTTCTCAAATTAGGTGACCTGGGCTCACACACCACCCCCAGCCACTTACCCACTTTGGACTTCAGGATTGTGCCATGTTCAAGCCCCTGTCCATCAAGTCAAGAGAATACAAATCCCTTCACCAAAGCTCTGGGGGCCAGGGGTATTTTGGAAATTAGTAATTTTTGTACTTGAGAGTGTCATACAGTATATGTAATAAGCTGCGACCTGTAACAAATGTGTGAATATTTCCAAAAGAAACCCATGAATATTGATTTGCACTACAGGAGGATAGAGGATCAATAGATTTTGCTACCAGAATAGTTAAGAAAAATCTTCTGTTTGGGGGGAATTTTTGGATATTGGAATTGAAAATGAGAGGTAGTGAACCCCTCACTTGCTTTGAGGGGTTCCTCTGAAGAAATGATGCAGGTAATGTGCCAATTGCTGTCCTTGACACAGGGTGCCAATATACTGTAGTACTGATAACAAGTACAGACAGTTGTTATTGATGCCACCGTGGCCAGCATGACTCCTCTGGCAGCAAGACTCTTGAGGAGCCCTGTGCCCAGATGGCACATGGGCATAGTCAGCCCTTTGAGATCTGAAGCTACCTCACCTTCCTAGAAAGTACACTTTAGTGGAGCAGGCGGCTGAGGCAGGGGGAGGATCATGGAAGGTCAGTCCAGCCCGTTCCCCTGGGAAGCTGATGCCTGCTTGGCTGGTTCTTGAGTTGGAGCTGATTCTTTTCAAGCTTCCCTATTCTTCAGACCCTCCTGAGGCCTCATAGGGATATCAGGGGCCCTTCCCTTGCTTTTGCAGTCTTTTTACAGTTAGGAGGGGAGGAATCGGGAGGGTGCTAGGGGCACAGCCTCAGGGTTGTAAGGCCTTTGGCCACTGCCTTCTCCTGGAACGTGGGGTTTCTAGAGGGCCCCTTGCTTTCATTTTTCCCGGGCACTGCAGGACTTAAGAGAAAAGCCAGCTGCAGCCCTCCTCACCTTCCTGGCCCATTCTATAAACCAGTGTAGTAGCTGTTTCTGGCGTACAGGGAGGCGTAGGCAGGGACATTCTGGCCCAGTGGGCAGAGCAGGAGCTAAACTTCAGTCCCTCAGGAAAAACTGTAGGTAGGCAGGAAGCATCATGTGCCTGTCCTGGGCTGCTGTTCTTCCTCTATAGCTTCTTGTCCCTCTGCCTCTCCCTAGAGTGGGGTCCGGAGCTGAGCTATGTCTTGACCTGGAGTTTAGTCACGTGTCACCTGGGCTGGGTCAGGGGCCAAAAAGATAAACTGCATAACAGAGCCATGTGTTTCTAGTGATGGTTAGGACAATAGGAAGAAATGATCCAAGCCCTTGTGAGCATCTGTTCTTTTTATCATTTGATAGTTTAAAAACTTAAATTGGCGCCTGACCTGTCTCTCTGACCTACTCCACTTTCCCGTTGGGTCCCAGTGGCTTCCTGGGCCGGGAGCTTGGCATGCAGTGCCCCGCATCCCCTAGGGCCAGGACTAATAGTGGTTTAACCTTTAGACAGGAGCTGCCTCCGAGGTCCAGCTGAGCTCCACAGAGGAGGCCCACCAGCGACTTGAGAGGATCTTCACAGCTCCTGTAATGCCACCTCTCTCCTGATTGGGTCCCCAGTCCCTGGCTCTCCTCTTCCTTGGGCTGGCAGCCAGACTATGTGTAGTGTCTCACTGTGGAAGGGGGGCCCCCTGGTGGCCCTCACTGGCTCTCCACTTGAAATGAAGAGGAGGCCTCCGGAGGATTGTCCCTGTACTCATGGGCTGAGGGATCTGGTCCCCTTCTCTGGCCCTGTTCTTCCACCTTGAGGACGTGTTTTGGTGCAGGGCCTGGGGGGGCATAGGGGGTAGCGTGGCAGGGAGTCAACACTCCCATTTTTGATCCCCAGCTCTCCTTACTTCTAACACACAGTATCCAAGGCCTGACCTGAAAATGCCTTAGAAGGTTTTAAGTAACCAGACTTAAAAGAGACAGGGTGGTCAAAGCTAATCCCAGGGTCTGCCACAGTTCCCTGCCTGTTGGACAGTTGGCAGGTGACCCCCACGTTGGACTTGGATGGGGCAATACCTCTGCTTGCCATGGGATCAACGTGCATGCCTGGGAGTGGGAGAAGTGAGGCAGGGTTGCTGTAGGGGCTGAGGAGGGGTCCTAGGCTTAGGCTGCCAATAGCCTCATTCTGTGAGACATTCATGCTGACAGCTCTGAAAGGCAGCCTTTAGCATAGGGAGTGGCATCCTGGGCCTTGTGTTCAGAGGTAGAGGACAGCTCTGTGCTGGTATCTGATGGCCACAAAGGGAGGCGGGTTGAAGACAGCCCCAGAAATAAAGCAGGAGGGTCCCAAGGCCTGATTGTAGTGAGGTGGCCTGGCCTGGCAGACACATGGAATAGGGAGCCTCATTCAGGCGTGGTGCTAAACATCTCTGACCCCCACGCTGTACCTTGGGCAACTGGGAAGTACCAGCCCAAGGGTGCTAGTTAAAGGGAATGTGCCAGTGGTCTGCTCGTCTTCACCCCTCTTCTTTTCTCTCTTTTTTCCCCTTGCTGCTGATAGCTGGACCCTGAGCCCGCCTCTCCTGCCCTCAGCCAGGTAGGGTGCTCCTGCCCTCCTCAGGAGCCCTCCGCTTCTTCTGGTGACCACCTCCCACCCCTGGCCTGTACCTGGGCTGGCGTCTGTGCTCGGGCCTCTTGCTGGAGTGTAAGGCCTCTTTCCTCTCTAGCCTCCCACCCTGTGTTGGGTTGGGGGGACCCAGGGGTAGGCGGTGCCAGGACCTACAGTGGTGCGGTTCTGTGCCAGGCCCTTGGGCATCACCAATCAAGACTGGCCTTTGTGGCACTCAGTTTTTAGTTATTGGAGCCCAAGGGCCAGTTGAGTTCTAGGTGTTTTAGCCCTCTCACTCTGGATAGAGACAGCCCAAAAGGCTGATTCCTGACCCAGAATCTGAAGACAAGGCAGTCTGTCTCCTGGCTAATGTGGGATTAGCTCAAAAGGCATTAGTGACAGGCCATGACCCTTTGATGTCACCCCCAACAAAGGGCCCGTAGATCATGCCCATTCAAGTCAAAGATTTTACCATTCTCAATGTAATTTGAAAAAAAAATTAATAATTTTTTTATGAAGTTACATTTCTTCAAATATAAAAAACTAGCCTTTTAAAGTGTCCTTGCCATCACAAATCAGAACACTCACTGACAGCAGGTGAGATGTGGTAGCGCACGCCTGTCATCCCAGAACTCAGGAGGCTGGGGAAGGAAGATGACAGTGAGTTCAAGGCCAGCCTGAAGTACATAGTGAAACCTTGTCTCAAATAAACTTAACAAAACAAAACAAAACAAAAAACCTACAACCCAAAAAACAAAAACAAAACACTGATAGCTTCCTATCTTATTGAAGGATAATTTCCCTGGTCTGTGGCACCAAGAGTCTAGGACACATTGATGTGGTCCAGCCCTCTCATTCCATAGCTAGGGAAAACTTCTGTCCAAAGTTTTTTTATCCAAAGCCAGAATTCAGTCTGGGAGCAGGACCCAGGTCTTCTTTTAACTCCAAGAACTACGACAAACAACATATAGTATTTATTATGTGCTTATATCTTCTCCTGATCCCTCACCTAGGATGTCAGTAGCACAAGGCAGTATCTTGGCCTTGGATCTCATGAGGAAGGGACACCTTGAATGAGGGACTCTCGGAGACTATTTGTACCTCCCAGTTAGGAACCTTCAGATCACTGTGGGCCCAGTGCTAGCCTGAGGGCTGGTCCCTGCCTCTGGGGTGACCAGGCCCTCTCTAGGGACCACTGGGTGACTTTGCTGCCATTTCACCCACACACAACAAAGGAACCTGGTAGGCCTGTGGGAGCTGGCCTTTCTGTTATCCCAACTCCCCCAGGCATGATGCTTCCCAGCTCAGTGTCCTGCTTAGGGGCACCAGGCTTGACACCTCCATACCCTGACAGTGCTTAATCTTATTTCTGCATGGTGACCACTTACAGGCCCGGGGGGATCCTGGCTCCTTCACATCCATTCCTGTGGCCATATATATCATACATTAAGTCTTTCTCTGTGTTTGACCAAACAGTGCTGTTTCCCACCCACTAGATCTCTGCCGTGCCGCCTCTTGCCTTTGTGTTGCACTGAGGTGTCTACTAGGTCTGTGTAACTGCCACTTTCCAAGCAGGGCCTTTGCTGACTGTGACATGGAGTAGGATCGGGGAGACTGCCATGTGATGTGTAGGTTACACCTGGGTACTATGCTCTTACCCAAGTAGAACATCTTCTGCAGACCAGGCCTGAGGCCAGGGCTCAGGACCCACCTATCATTCTCCCACGAAGTCCTAGGACAACACATTTCTCCTGAGTTCTGGAGGAAGTAGCCTTTCCCATCATTTGGCATGAAAGAGCCCATGGTGGTGGCCCAGGGTGTAGGGCTTGGACTCAGGATACTAATCCCACAGGTTTGGCAGGGAGAAGAGGGCAGAGGGCAGCTCAGGGAGGTATAACCTGGTGACTTGCTTTCCCGGGGCCTGCTCACCCCTGGGCACATGTTTCCTGTGTTGCTGTCCCGCCCCTTCCAAACCTGCAATACCGGCATGCTCACTAGCCTCGGTGTCCTTGTCCTTAGAGCTCCTCAGAACGACCGCTACCTCCTGGCTTCTGTACCTTCCTTCCCTGACACTTCTGATATCCCTGTGTTCCATGTCTGCCACTTAACTATTTCCCCTGCCCAGTGGCTCATCTTGAAGTCCTTCTCCCACTTGTCCCCTCTCTTCTGCTGTCCTGGTCTGTCTTCCAGCGCAGGGTCTCACTCTGTATTCTTGCCCTCTGACAGGCCAAGACCGAAGAGCAGATTGCAGCTGAGGAGGCCTGGTATGAGACTGAGAAGGTGTGGCTGGTCCATAAAGATGGCTTCTCCCTGGGTGAGTGTCTTGGTTACTTTTCTCTCATTGCTGAGACAAAATACCTGATGCCCAAAATTAAGGAAGGAAAGGTTTATTTAGTTCACAGTTTGTGGAAGTTTCAGTCCATACTTGGCGGGCACCAAGGCAGGTGGCGCATGGCAGAGGGCAACAGTTCACTGCAGCAGAACAGCAAAGCAACAAGAGCAAAAGGGAGGAGCAGTGGCAAGCAGCCTCTTTTCCTCCCTTACACTGTATGCAAACTACCCACCCCAGGGCAGGTGTAGCACTCACATCCATAATTCCAACATTGGACCGTGAATCAATCATAAACTCTAGAAGCCTGCCCCATGACTACATGATGCTTTTGGGGGACATCCAGACACAAACTATAGCAGTGAGTCAGCAGGTTAGGTGCAGACATCTGGAACTCTTCAGTAGGAGCTCTGGGTTGGCTGAGGGTTGGGGAGTAAGCAAAGAGAGGCTGGTGATCCACCGAGAAGAAAGTGGAACCAAAAGGGGCCCAGACAGAGTAACAGAGGCTTCCCAGCCCTGTGTCCAACTGTCTGTGCCTGTACTGTAGCCAGCCAGCTCAAATCAGAGGAGCTCAGCTTACCTGAGGGGAAGGTGCGTGTGAAGCTGGACCACGATGGAGCCATCTTGGACGTCGATGAGGATGATGTAGAGAAGGTTAGCAGGAGGCTGCTGAAGGGTTGGGAGGGTAATGGGCAAGGCGGGCCTGTCCTCTATGGCAGCGACAGGATCAGCTCTTCATTGCCCCCTGCCTGTCTTTCTGCCCAGGCTAATGCACCCTCCTGCGACCGGCTAGAAGATCTGGCCTCACTGGTGTACCTCAATGAGCCCAGCGTCCTGCACACACTGCGCCAGCGCTACGGTGCTAGCCTGCTGCACACCTATGCTGGCCCCAGCCTGCTCGTCCTCAGCCCCCGAGGGGCCCCATCTGTGTACTCAGAGAAGGTGCAGTCCCTCTGACTACTGTGCTGCCTCATGAACCCACCCCCTGCCACCCACCCCATCTCCCCTGGCTCTCTGCCTTTCGTCTTTGGTGGCCACTGGGCTCTTGTCCATTACCATAGTTGAACTTCAGAGAAGGAATCATTTCAGCAGGGTTGGGGGTGGTGCAGAAGGAGCTCCTGCAACCTGTAGTAGAGTCCAGGACCTAGCTAGTATCTGCATTTCTATGTATGGCTTTGGCCTCATAATCCATGGCCACCTCAGGAGTGAAAATTCAGAAAGATGTGGACCCTGGGGGTGAGGTATGTCTGGGTGGTCTAGCTAACAGCCTGCCCTTCCCTCCATCCCTTTTCTGCTGAAGGTGATGCACATGTTCAAAGGGTGTCGGCGGGAGGACATGGCACCCCACATCTATGCTGTGGCCCAGACAGCATACAGAGCAATGCTGATGAGCCGCCAGGACCAGTCCATCGTCCTTCTGGGCAGTAGCGGCAGTGGCAAGACCACCAGCTGCCAGCATCTGGTGCAATACCTGGCCACCATTGCAGGCACCAGTGGGAACAAGGTGTTTTCTGGTGAGGCAGGGGCAACTGAGAATGGGGTGAGAAGAGTTGGGGGAGGGCTGCGCCTTCCTCGGTGCCAGTGCTGTTTTTCCCTATCCCCTCTATCCCCTTGGGATTCATCTGTCCCTGGGTAGTTCTGGTCGAAGTGGCCTCAAGCCTTCACACCGCTGAGGCCCACAGCTGGGGTGAGCTGTACTCGCCTTTTCTGATGTCCCTGGGGCCTGTGTTCTGCAGCAGAGAAGTGGCAGGCTCTGTACACCCTCCTGGAAGCCTTTGGGAACAGCCCTACCATCATGAATGGCAGTGCTACCCGTTTCTCCCAGATCCTCTCCCTGGACTTTGACCAAGCTGGCCAGGTGGCCTCAGCCTCCATTCAGGTGAGAGGGTGTTGCCCAGGTATCAGGGCAGTGGGAGATGTGCGCCTGGTTTTATGCTATAGAAATCAGTCTGGCCCCAGTTCTTCACTGGCCAAGGATTCTGTCCTGACCAAGGCACAGGCAGGCCTGGCTTACGCTGCCTAGAGCTGCTGCCATTCTGCCCTCCAGGCCTCCCATCCAAGTCCTTCTTCCCTCCTGACCTAGGGGCTGTCACCACCCTACTGCTGGGCCCCCAGCTATACCCACTTTCTGAGATCCACATTCAGGGCCTTCTCGGGGGTGATTTCACCCAGCAGAGGATGACGTGAGGCCCAGCCAAGGCTAATCGTCTTCTATGTTACATGAACTTTTTTACCACAAGTTTCCATCTCCCTAAGAAGACTGGTACCAGGGTCTCCTTCCATGGCCCTGGTTTCTGGCTCCTGTTCGATCTGGAAGGAGGGGCGGTTCTGACTATTGGCTGAGCACCTTGCTGCAAAGCAGATGCAGCAGCTTGTTCCCAGGGCCTGGAGGGTCAGGGGCCTGGTTCTTGCTGCTAGAGGGTGGGAGGAATTTGATCCAGCACTAGCTCCTTCCATACCTCATTTTGTGCCACAGACTATGCTTCTGGAAAAGCTGCGTGTGGCCCGACGCCCAGCCAGTGAGGCCACGTTCAACATCTTCTACTACCTGCTGGCCTGTGGGGATGGCACCCTCAGGTGAGGTGGGACAGAGGAAACATTGAGGGAGCTCTAGACTCCAGCCTGCCAACTGGGCTCCGAGGCTTTGCCACCTGCTTGCCCACTGTGCTGTGTGGGCATTGCTGCTGTGTGCCACGCTTTGAGCTGAGCCCTGGGAAGGCCAAGGTGGGGGGAGATGTAGGTCCTGCCTGTCAGGAACTCCCTGGCCATGGGGACTGCAACCTTGCTGTATGGAAACAGCACAAATGACTCGGTATTTCCAGGGAGTCCTGGGGATCTCCATTACCCAGGAAATCAGGTCTGGGGTGGAAAGCTTATGGGACAAAGGTGTTGGGTGACTTGCCTACAGTCACATAGCTAGTATGGGGCTCAGCTTGGCCAAAGCCCAAACCCTCTTCAGTGTCCCAGCTGGCCTTCCATGCCCTATTGGCTACTCCTGCTGGGCTCTTCCCTTTAGATCTTCAGACTTACTGTCTGGCTGTCTGCTCACTGGGCAAGAATAACCCCTAAGGCTGAGCAGGCAGCTTTAGCATTACCCTCTGTAGCTCCTCTCCAAACTGAAGCAGGCTGTCTGGGTTCCCTCACCCTTCAGGCAGGTCTCCTGCTCCTCTCTAGGGGGCCTGACTGGACTCTCTCCCAGGCCTCTGTGGTGACCTGTCGCAGGGCAGCTGGTGCTCTGCCCAGGCATCTAGGCCAGATAGGAAAGGTGACACAGTGGCCTGACAATTGGAATGATGGGCAGATGGCACTTGGGATCTGGAAGCTCGGGACCTGTCTCCACCCTGGGGTGGAGGGCCGGGTGGGGGGGCTTCATCTGAGGATCAAGCTCCATGCTAATGCCTCTTTGCACCCCTAGGACAGAGCTTCACTTGAACCATTTGGCAGAGAACAATGTGTTTGGGATTGTGCCACTGGCCAAGGTGAGGGGTCTGTGAGGACTGGGTTGGCAACCCTGGACCTTGGCGATAGGAGAAGCCTTAGTTGGCATATGGTGCCCCATGGGTGGCTGTGCCCAAATCCTGCCCTCCCTGAGGGTCCAGCTCTATGGGGACATGGTGGGAAGGACAGACCCTCTCAGGTCTGGAGCCAGCATGTCTGTCCATCCCTGCAGCCTGAAGAGAAGCAGAAGGCAGCACAGCAGTTCAGTAAGCTGCAGACAGCCATGAAGGTCTTAGGCATCTCCTCCGATGAACAGAAGGCCTGCTGGCTCATCCTGGCTGCCATCTACCACCTGGGGGCCGCAGGAGCCACCAAAGGTAACCACAGCTGGGTCCCAACAACCTGCCTTGTCAGACAGGAGATCTGGTAGGGACCCCTGCCATTCCCAGTTTGTTCTTGCCCTGCACACACTCCGCTGCTAACAGATAACCCTCTTACGTGTGCCCCTTCTCACGCCCCCTCATGAGAGCACAAGGCCAGAGGAACATCACCCCCAGTAATGGCCTGAGGCCTGGCCTTAGCTGCCAGGACTGGGAGCACTGTGAGGAATGGGTGGCTGGGGACAGAGGCTGGGGCTCGGGTAGGGAAGGCCCTCCCTCGGAGCAGCCCTTGGAGTAACTCTTCTTCTTGTTCCCTTCCTGACAGAGGCCCTTGAGGAGGAAGCGGGTAACTGACCCCGACCCGCCTCGGGGTGTAGGGGCTGCCTCATCCTGTCTTGGTGCTTCCCTGGGCTCTCTGGGGGCTGGGCTCATTCTGTCAGCGGAGGACTGGTCTGGGGAGAAACCCTAGGGTTTGACGGTGGAAGAGGAGTCTGCTTGCTGTGGGGCTTCTTGGGGTCTCCGGAATAGCTGCCTCTCCACTGTATTCTGCATCTGGGTCCTGGGACCTCTTGGGGTGCTGTCCCTGGGCCTTAGGTGGGGCAGGGCAGGCTGGCTCCAGGAGGCTCTGGGAGGCCAGTTTTCTTCAGTCTTCTCTTCCACTGGTTTGATAGTCACTGCTCTTGCTCTTGCACATCAAGGTGGAGGCCACGAGGGGGCAGTAGGCACCTGTTGACGGCTGAGCTGCAGTTTCTGCACTTGGGCTGCGGGCTTGTGGATGGCTAGGGCTGTCTGTCACAGGAGAGCTGTTGCCTTCCTCAGAGACTGCCCTGGAAAGCAGTGATTTGAGCACCTCTTCAGCCTTTCTCCTGTAGTTTAGGGAAAGGCTGTGATGCTGGCTCTGGATAATGCCTCGGCTTTGGCTCTCTTCCGGGGGGTGGGAAGGGCCCCTGGCTACGCAGCAGGAGCGGGAAAGCGCTGGTGGCTGTGGGTGCATGGGGGACAGGCGTCTGGGTTACCGGCCCCTTGTGATGCCAGCAGGTGGCAGCTGTGCCAGGAGGAAGCGGCCATCCTCAGGCCACGTGGGCAGGAGAGTGGACAGGAGAGTGGGCAGGAGAGTGGGCAGGCAGGCATGTGGCTGTGTCTTGTAGGAAGTTCTTTGAAGCTAGGGGTAGAGGTCCCTGTTTCCTCTGGCCCTCCTCAGCTGTGACTGTAGGTGGCGCATTCTGAGTGTTGAACAGTGTTGTCCCCTCAGAGCTTCCAGTATTTTCCAGGGCTGTGTGTGTGTGTGTGTGTGTGTGTGTGTGTGTGCGCGTGCGCGCGCTCACGGGCGCATGTACATGCACATGCGTGTGCACACCTGTGTGTACACATGTGGTAGAACATCTTTGTAGTGCTCTTTCTGGGTGTGCCCGTGTGTTGTCATCCGCGAACATACCTCTTTGAGAGAGTGTGTTTTTGTACCTCCGGGGCTGAATGCGGCCTGCTCATCCTCCTGAGCCCCCACCCCCTGCAGTCCCTTCCTGCAGGCCTAGTGGCTCAATTGATGACTGTTTGCTAACACACTGTTTTTCTTTGCATGCTGCATGCTGGTCCTTTGCCTTACAGAAGCTGCTGAAGGTAAAACCTTGTTTTCTTGTTAGCTTTCCCTAATTGCTGTGATTAGACACGTGTTGGCTGAGGAGCATATGTCTGTGTGGGCTGCTCCCTTTTTCAGGCGGCTCTGTTGCCTCCCCATTGTTGAGCCATCTAGGTATCTGGTTTCCCCTGGGGTAAGAGGGGGGAGAGAGGGGTGTCCTGATGCATCCAGGGAAGGAGCAGACGTCAGTACTCCCTCATGCGGAGTCCCCTGAAGACACACGTGGCTCCTGTGCTCATCCTAACTTGTCTTTCCCCAACCCAGGCGAGGGGGAAATCCCTGAAGAGATTTTTGCAGCTGACTCAGTGCCCTCTGGTGGCAGCCTGTGGAATTACCTCCCTTTTAGGACCAGCTCATTGTTTTTGCCCCCAAGGGACCCAGAAAGTGCTAAATGTCCCTGTTCCCATCGAGTCCATTTGGTGTCATGAGGGCTGGTTTTTGACTTCAGAAGAAGGGCCATCCCCAGGCCTATGGGAGTGAGGGATGCGAAAGGAACAGCGGTCATCAGTTGGCCTAAGGAGAAAGACTCGGAATGCCAGATCCCTTTTTCTGTTTCACAGCTGGCCGCAAGCAGTTTGCCCGTCACGAGTGGGCCCAGAAGGCCGCATACCTTCTGGGCTGCAGCCTGGAGGAGCTGTCCTCTGCGATCTTCAAGCATCAGCACAAGGGTGGCACCCTGCAGCGCTCCACCTCCTTCCTCCAAGGGCCCGAGGAGAGCAGCCTGGGAGATGGTACAGGTACCCTCAGCCGCTTAACTGGTGGATGTGACTGGGAGGCCTCACCTGGGGCTTGTTCCCGACCTGGAGGTGGGAGGGACTGCTGGAGTGAATAGACAGTCCTGTCGGTGGGAGAGGCCCAGCCCCAGGGTTTCATGTTGACTGGCGCCAGTATGTAGGGAGCATTCTTGGGCAAGTGGGATGGCCCATGGGACAGGAAGTAGAACTGACCCCCTTGCCCTGCAGGCTCCAAATTGAGTGCATTGGAGTACTTAGAGGGAATGGCATCTGGCCTCTACAGTGAACTGTTTACACTTCTCATCTCCCTGGTAAACAGGTGAGTGCCAGGCTGAGCCCAGGGACCCCCAATTTCCTCCTTTGGCAAAAGTGTGGCGGATGCCTTTGTGGCTGTGTTGGCTGAGGTGAGGCCATCGTCCACCAGTAGAGGCTTCACTGTCCCCATGGGCTGTGAACGAGGTGGGCTCTGAACAAGCCTCTGAACTACCAGGGGCCTAGGCTTCTGGACAGAGATGGGCATTTGCTGCATACCAGGGGCAGACCAAGGGGGCCCACTCTGTAGCCTGCTTCCTACTCTGGCCAGTGCTGATCCAGGCTTTCCCTGTGAAGGGCTCTCAAGTCCAGCCAACACTCGCTCTGCTCCATGATGATTGTGGACACTCCGGGATTCCAGAACCCCGAGCTGGCTGGGTCAGCGCGTGGAGCCTCCTTTGAGGAGCTGTGCCACAACTACACCCAGGACCGGCTGCAGAGGCTGTTCCACGAACGCACCTTTGTGCAGGAGTTGGAGAGATACAAGGAGGTAGCTCCTACCCTGCCCCTGCCCCTGCCCCAGCCCAACCCTGGCTTTACCTTCTGGCTGTGGCATCCCCAGGGAGGGCTTCTGTGGGCTTGGGAAGGTGCCGTCTTCCCTGCTGGCTGCTCCTTCCCAGTTGTCTCTTCCCTTTCCATCTCCACCCTCCCTTGCTCTCTGTAGTGGGAATCTTGTCCTATCCTTTGATCTCACCTGCATTTTTTTTTTAAGTAGTGGCCAAGTTTACTTGAAAAAGTAAAAGTGAAGAGTGAGGGAAAAACTGGCTCTGTGGAGTGAGGTTAGGGCCAGTAAAAGAGGAAAAAGCAAGATAAAAGTACACCCTGGAGGAAGTAGGGCAGGCTACCATGAAGAAAGCCACGCTAGCCTTGACAACATTCTCACCTAGTGGAGAATTTGCTCTCCACAAAGCTGGTGGTGCATCAGGGTCCCTGGAACCCCTCCATGCCCTCCTTCGAAGCACCCTCCTAGAGCCTGTAAATTGCCAGGGTGCCGTTCCTGCCTCCAAGTGCCTGGGCCCCGCCTCCCCTCCCCGTGCCTCCCTCTCTGCTGATCTGTTAGGATGGTAGTTGAGTATTTGAGACCCCTCTCGAAAAGGGTGTCCTGGCTGGGAGGAGACCTGGAAATCTTTCCTTATGTGGAGATAAGTTGGATAAAGCGAGGGTGATACTTTTCCTGGGGAGAGGAGACTCAGGAAGAACATGACAGTTGTTTCCACGTGTTGCCAGGATGATGGTATGAAATTGAAAGGAGGCTTCTTCTGTATTACTTAATCGGCTGATGCAAGAGATTATGAGAACTTCAGCTTTCCAAAAATACAGTGTGTTACCCTTGGAAGTCATGAGCAGCTTGTCACTTCGGGCAGTGGAGGGACTCCCTGCACCACATGGGAGGTTGGACTTGCCGTCCTTTGCAGCCCTGCCTCCCCCACTCATAGAGGCGCACACCCACACGTGGCCCTGCACTCATTATTGGTCTGCTTTACCTCCTAGGAGAACATTGAGCTGGCATTTGATGACTTGGACTCGGCCACAAATGACTCTGTGGCTGCTGTGGACCAGACTTCTCACCAGTCCCTGGTAGGAATGTCAGCGAGACCTGGGCTAGCCTCACCTCTCACGTCCTACTCCTCTGTGAGCCGCTGCTTCGGCTGCCACTGTGGGCTACCAGGGGCCCCACACTCACACTCAGATACCAGCCACTGCACGAGCATCTGTGGGGCTCTGCCCCTCAGCTCTCACAGCCTGTCCGGGAAGGTGACACCTTTCTTCTGCCTGGTGCAGTGGGGGCCCATACTCCACAGTGTCCCAGCCAGGCACTGTCAGCTGAGGCTCAGGCCCTGTCCTGTGATTGGCCGAGCCTCCAGCGTGTCTGCCAGGGGTCCTGATATAAACTGCTTGGGGTTGACGACCTGGACTGTAGGACAAAGACATTCCCTTCTATTGACCCCAAGGAGAGGATTAATGTAACTTAGCAGAGTGGGGCAAGGAGGCAGCATCCTGCTCAAATGGGAACACTGCCAAGCGGTAAAATACCCTCGAGGCACTGCCGTGAATGTGAGCCCTCACCCCTCAGCCTTGCAGGCAGGCTGTGTCACCCTTTGTTACTATTGTCTTGGGTGCCTTGGTGCCTGGGGCACTGGCCGGCCTGATGAGCACTTGGCATTTGGTGACTGTCTTCAATTAGGAGAATTGCATAAAGTGCTTTATTAGGGAATGACAGTTCTGCTAGGCTTCTGAGCTCTAGCTTCTGCTTTGAGTCCTGCTTCGCTCTCCCGCTTCCTGGAGTGAGGCCCTGCTGAACTAGCACAAGAGGAGGCAGTGAGCATCCCCCCCGAGACAAATGCTTAAAGTGTCCAAGCACTGCGTCTCTCCAGGGAAGGTGGATTTCCTTTTCTGACACCTGGGCTCCTGTGCTGGTCTCCGTTGAGAGCCTTTGCCACTCCCAGGAGATGGGAAGAATTCATACATGTGTCTCAGATTTGTGTTGGGCTGAGGCTCGGCCCTCTGTCCCCTTCTTTGGTCTTCACTGTTTGCGGGGCCTTAGCACTGGGCAGCTGAACCTTGGGGTAAGAGGCCCCTCAGTGCCACTCACTGTCTGGTGACTTAGCTACTCCTTCCTGCCATTCACCTCTCCCTACCAGAGGGCTATGTAGTCCTTCAGCCCTTGGGCACATTCTGCTTCCTTCTGGTAATCACACTGATTCCTTCGGGCAGCGGTGGGCAGCTAGGGTCAAAGAGAAGGAAGATAGCACTTTTCTCATTTTTTTTATCCTCTATTCCTAAAGGCCAGGCCAAAATGGGGCATGGGGAAGATTCAGTTCTTCCTGTCTGAGGAAGACATAGCAATTCCTTCAGAGCTGGGCATGGTGGCGCATGCCTGTAATCCTAGCAGTTGGGAGGCTGAGGCAGGAGGATTGTTGCAAGTTCGAGGCCAGCCTGGGCTACAAAGTGAGCTCAAGGCCAGCCTGAACTGCAAAGTGAATCTTTGTCTCAAGAAGAGGAAGGAAGGAAGGAAGGAAGGAAGGAAGGAAGAGAAAGAGAGAGCACACCTTCAGGCTAGATGTGGTCACAGACCTAGTTTGCCTAGCCTTCATGGGATATTAGAAATTAGAAGTCAGTATTTCTACCTTCTGTTGAAAAGCCAGAGGGTTGGCCAACTAACGGTGCTCATCCTTCCAGGAGAGCAGTCAGCTGCACCTAAGTGGCAGTTGTTCCTTCAGTTGGTGACACCAGCTTTCTGGCTTGCCCCAGCCTCCTCATGTTTTGGCTACCACACCCATGAAGTCGCCTGTCTCACACTTTGGCCCCTGAGTTTATACCATGTGTGTTTCCCACCTGCAGTGATGTGAGCCCTCTGTCTTCTCTCTTCTTGGGGACCAGTGTTAACCCCACCAGTCATCAATTATTGAACAATTCCTTTGGACCATCCACTGTGCTCAGAGCTTTCCAGACTTTATCCCATTTAATCTGCCAGGAAATGAGGAGGGGACGAGGATAAGGAGAGCTTGTGGGTATGGGGTCAGGTAGTAAGCCTTCTGTTTTTGATGCCTTTGGACCCAAGTCCCAGGAAGCATCTTTGTGCAGGTTCTCCAGTATCTTTCTGGGCCTTTCTTTCCCTGTGCTGCCCGCTTCCTCCACAAGGTGTCAGCAGTGAGTAGACGAAGCTGAAGAATGCAGGGTGTGCACATGGGTACCTGCGGCTGTTCATAGTAGTCAAGACCGCAGCTCCTTTCCCTCAGCTCCATGTGGCAAGGTGGGATTCGTCCCGTTCTCCATAGGTCCGCTCGCTGGCCCGCGCGGATGAGGCAAGGGGCCTGCTGTGGTTGCTGGAAGAGGAAGCACTGGTACCAGGAGCCACTGAGGATGCCCTCCTAGAGCGCCTTTTCTCCTATTATGGCCCTCAGGAAGGTGACAAAAAAGGTAGGTGGCACCCTGAAGGGTAGCTCCACTGCTTCCTTGCCAGAAGACCCGTCTGTATGGGTCCAGGTGGAACTTCACGGGGGACTCACTGAATCCCTTTGTGTCTGTCCCACGACAATCTGAACCTTGCTTCCTCCACCCTCAGGCCAAAGCCCGCTTCTGCGCAGCAGCAGACCACACCATTTTCTCCTGGGACACAGTCATAACACCAACTGGGTGGAGTACAACATGGCTGGCTGGCTGAGCTACACCAAGCAGAACCCAGCCACCCAGAATGCCCCTCGGCTTCTGCAGGACTCCCAGAAGTAAGGACACACCCTTTACCTATGTCTTGTCCCTACACCTGTTCCCTGAGCCCCCTTCCCCTGCATGCGTCTGAAGGGCTCCTTCACCAACAATGTTTTGTTTTTTTGTTGTTGTTTTGTTTTTGTGGGTTTTTTTGGTTTTTTTTCCAGTACCGGGAATCGAACTCACGACCCTGCACTTGCCAGGCAGGCGCTTTGCCACTGAGCTAAATCCCCAGCCCCTTCACCAGCAATGTAAATAGCTTCCAGTTCCTGAGAGGCAGTAGTCAAGGCCAGATGGCCTTGAGAGCATGGGGGTGGCCTTCTGGAATAGAGGTGGGAGAGAGATACGGTTGGGAGCACCTGTAGTTTTCAGCTGGACAGTACCCCCACACTCTCCAGAGAAAGCAGAAGTCTTATGAACTCCTCGGTCCTATGAACCCTATCATCCATCCATCCATCATCAATCTATCCATTCATTGATTCCATAGATGATTATTGGATACCTAGTCTAATAGGGACAGCTAGGCTCTTGGCAGATAGCAGGAAGTTCAATTCTCTTTCTCGGGGGAGTTTACCTTCTAGCAGGGAGGAGAGAATGAACAGTAAATGTAGAAAGCAAATTATGTAGTATAGTAGCAGATGTTAGGCTCTTCTCTCCTGTCATACTGGAAACCCCTCTGCTTTCTTCCCTCCCTTCCTTTTTTTTTTGTTTTTTTTTGTTTTTTGGTTTTTTGGTTTTTCTCTGGTACCAGGAACCGAACTCACGACCTTGTGCTTGCCAGGCAGGCGCTTTGCCGCTGAGCTAAATCCCCAGCCCCTTCTCCCTTCCTTTTGTCTATCCCTAGCCTACTCTGCTTCTGCCCACCCTCAGTTTTCTTTTCTTACTGCTTTAAAGTCTCCCTCCAGTTTCTCTATAGGATATAGCCATGTGGCCTCAGCCCAACTAACCCAGGCCTCTGGCCCTGCCATCTAAGGGTGGTTTGATGCCCTAAGACAGCCTCCACTGCCCCATGAATGTGACTCCTATTCCTCCCTTGCTGTCCCATCTTTGCCAGAAAGATCATCAGCAACCTGTTTCTGGGCCGGGCAGGCAGTGCCACCGTGCTGTCAGGATCCATTGCGGGCCTGGAGGGCGGCTCACAGCTGGCACTGCGCCGGGCTACTAGCATGCGGAAGACCTTTACCACGGGCATGGCAGCTGTGAAGAAGAAGTCTCTGTGCATCCAGATTAAGCTGCAGGTGGTGAGTGTTCGACCAGGCCCTGGGGCCTTTCTTGCTGCTGGCAGGCAGGCCTGGGCACGCGACACATCCATTGCCTACCCAGCATCCCGTCCGGTTTGATCACTGCCGGTAGGTTGCCTATGAGTGGCCAGCAGGCCTGGGGAGGGAAGAGATTTTTAGGTTTCGCATGTTCTGGCTGGTAGTGGGACACTGCTGTCCTAGGAGAAGTGGAGCTGCTGGCACCAGTCCCTACTCTCCTGGGTAGGGGCCATTGGAGCCCACTGAGAGGGGTTCTTTCCCTTTTGGTAGGATGCCCTCATTGACACCATCAAGAGGTCCAAGATGCATTTCGTGCACTGCTTCCTGCCTGTGGCTGAGGGCTGGGTCGGGGAGCCCCGGTCTGCCTCCTCCCGCCGTGTCAGCAGCAGCAGTGAGCTGGATCTCCCCCAGGGAGACCCCTGCGAGACTGGGCTCCTGCAGCTTGATGTGCCCCTGCTCCGTGCCCAGCTCCGGGGCTCCCGCTTACTTGATGCCATGCGCATGTACCGCCAAGGTGAGGTTCCTTCCCCTACCTTGGCCCCTGGCACTTTCCCAGAGCTGACCCCACCCGCCCTGCCTTCCAGATACCCCCAGGGGGCTGGAAGGGTGCTGTTCCCCTCCTGCCTCAGGACTGGCCCCAAATCTCTTTCTTCAGCCTCCTTTCTGTCCTGGTGCTGCCTCTGGGGGAATCATCCTTATTGCTTTCCCAGCCCAACCTATTCCTCTCCACCCTGTAGTCCCCCTCTTTCTCCTTTCCCTTCTGCATGCAAGTTCTCTTCATCGCCCTCCCTGCCCCGGTGCCCCATTGTTCATTCCCACGACTGCCTCCTGCCCCCTCACTGGTGTGGATAGGTCAGCTCTGCCCACAACAGCAGGCCCGGTGTCCTTTGAGAGCCTTCTGCCCCGGGTGAAACTAAGTACTAAATCTCTCTGAAGTATTTAAAATTTCCAAGAAAGGTCAGACAGACCCTTTTTATGGACTCATCTAGAGGAGCGGACAGAGGCTGACAGGAATAAGTGGCCATCCTTAGGGCGTTACAGCACGCCGGGCGCTGTTCTCCAGTCTCCCGCATTTCATACGCACAGCAACCTCCTGAGGTAGGACCTGCTACTCCTAGGTGGGGAGAGTGAGGCTGAGAAAGCTGGGTAGTTTGTCCACAGGCACACAGCTTGTCAGCGGCCAAGCCAGATTCCACCTAGGTAGTAGTCTGGCTGCAGAGCCAGGTCTCCCACGTTGGGTTTTGTTTGCCTGTGAAGTTAGGAGTTGCCAGTTTCTGCTCTTTTTTACCTTAGCTAGACAAACAGGCAGGGTCCCCCTCACCCATAGCCAGGTCCCCTACATTATCCCCACGGGCATCTTCACTTTTCCTTAGCAGCCAAAGCCAGGAAACAGGCTCCCTGCCCTGTTCTAAATAAATCATCGATCTGTCCCCACGTCTTGATATGGAGTTGGTGTTTATTATTTCAAAACCAGATTGTTACCGCTCTGAACCAAAATCAATGTGCTTTACTCAAACAAGCAGATCGATGAGGCCAGCAGCAGCAGGCCCCCCTCCCCTTCCCCGGCCCCCAGCCACCATCGATAGCGCTGATGATTAATTAAGATGCCAGGCATCCAGACCCACTATCCCGGCCCATCAATTTAATTGCAATTCAGATACAATCAATAGCTCACTTTGTCTTGGCCCCTCAGCGGCCCCCCGCCTCCTGTTTCAATTATCAGGCACATGCATCAGCCTCATCTCCCAGTTGGAGGGTTTCCCAGAGCTGCTAGCTGGAGTGGCAGAGCGAGCCCCTGGCTGGCGGAGAGGAACCTAGGTGTAAAGTCCAGCCCTGTCTTAGCTGCAGTTTCTTGACCTTGGACACATTCCCCCACCTTTCGAGCCTCAGTTTTCTCGGCTGAAAGATGCAGTGGTTCTTTCTGGTTTAAAAATTCTGTGATTCTGTACAAGTGGATCTCTTGGTCTTCCACCATGGGCTTGGGTGAGATGTGGGTGACTTGGGACCCCTGCTGGCCACCATTGTGACTTTGCTGCAAGCCAGAAGGCGTCTCACCTTTCCCTGACCTCTTACCCTCTGCAGGGAAGGAGCATCTATAAGCCTTGGACCCAGGGAACAAGATCAGAGTTGGGGGCAAGTAGAGGAGCCCTTTCTGAAATTCTGCCCCAGTGCAGAGGAAAGGAAAGGCGCGTTTCACTGAGCACTCACCAAGTGAACCAGGCTGTGCTTTCCACTCACTGTCCCAGTTAGTCTCCACAGTTACCTTGCAGGATAAGTACTAGGGCATCAGAGGTGGAGAAAGTGAGACCAGAGGTGTCCGATTGGCTCAAGGTCACATGACCATAAGGGGCAGGGCCAGGATTCCGGGACCAGCCCTTGTGCTTTTTTTCTCAGCTGCCATTTGCTGTCCTGTTGTTTTTCCTGCTGAGGCATGGTTCTCTCTATTATCACTTAGAGGCCTGGAAAACATCCCAGAGTTTACCGCAACCCCCACCGCCATCCCAGAGGCAGCCTGTGCCCTTTTAACCTTCTGTCCCAGTGGGAAGCAGTCCTGATGGTCCTCTGAGCCCCTTTTTCTTTTTCTGTCCTTTCTGGGCCTGCCTCAGGCAAGGCTCCCCACCCTCACAGTGTCTGCCCCTCTGCGTGACCCCCCACTGGGCACCAGAGGCTACTGGGGTATCCTGGGAACAGGTAAGGCATTGACCGACCTGGCTCTGGGCCGCTCTCTCCAGGGTACCCTGACCACATGGTGTTCTCTGAGTTCCGCCGCCGCTTTGATGTCCTGGCCCCACACCTGACCAAGAAACATGGGCGCAACTACATCGTGGTAGATGAGAAGCGGGTAGGTGTGGATCCCCAGAACCCCTGCAGGCCCCTCTCCCTCCCTCAGACCGCTTTGAGCAACTACCCATTCTCAGACCCATCTTCGCAGCCTCCTCTAGGGACAGGGCTAGGACGGGGATGCCACACTGGCAGAGTGGCAGAGGGAGCCTAGGGCCTGGACTGTAGGAACTGGTGAGGGCTGCCCTCGCTGGAGGCTGGAGGCTGGAGCTGGGGATGTCTGCTCTCTGGTGAGCCAGACAGTTATCCAAGAACAAGTAGGGCCAAGACCTCCCAGAACAAGAACTGATCAGGACTAGTGTTTCGGGCATTCCGCTGATGGCACCTGGGCCTCTCAGCTTGGCCTCTAACCTTGGCAGGGCCTGGTTCCTGCAAGGGGAAGCTGTCCAGAGCGGGGGCAAGCATCTCTCCTTGGGGAAGATTGATAAGGAAAGACCTCCTTGGTGCTAGGGAAAATATGAAACTGCTGGGCCCTTGGGCAGCCTGGGTTGGTGAGTCCATGACTGCAGAAGTGGTGTCCCTCTGTCATTCTAGGCTGCCATCTTGACCCTTAGGGCAGCTCCTCGGGCAGCCAAAGGGCTCTCTGAGCAGAGGAATCCTACCTTCCTTCCCCGTACACTGCCTCAAGTACCCAGGTGGCTTTGACGGTGCTTCAGACCTTAAAGGCAGGAGGCTGCAGAGTGAACAGGAAGCCTCACAGCGATGCTCCGCCTTTCCCCGCGTGTCCCCTCCCTTGCCCCTTGAGTGACAGCCACGTTCCTGGAGCCCTCAACAACCCTCTTTCTGTTCTCAGGCCTGCCGTTGTTGCATGAATTCATGTTGGCGTGAATGTAGATGATCCTTCTCTCTTGCTCTTGACCTCCATGTGCCTTGTCACCTCTGGAAATATTCCACCTCCAAAATCTTAGCATTTAGCATGGCCTTCCCTACATGTGGGTCTCACTGTGCTCAGAACACCTGCTCTTGGACTCCTTCAAGACTTCTTATCTCTAGATCCCGCCCCATTCTCTCTACTCTGTCGGTTCCTTTCTGACTGTGCTTCCTTTTCTGCTCAGCCTTCGTCCTCCTTGGTTTTCCTGAACTTCCCATAGTACATGCCCTGCCAGACTCCTACCCTAATGGGCCAGCCTTTGGATAGCTGCACTTTTTTTGTTTTTAAAGAAAAAAATATATTATTATGGGTATATATGTATAGTACATGAAGTTTACATTTGTTTTGAGGGATTGGTACATATACATGGCACCCTAATCATTTTTGATCCTCCTTCTCCCCTCCGCCTCCTTCTCCTGTCTCCTGATTCCCTCCCTCAATTCCAAAAAGTCTGTTTTTATTTTACTGTTTAATTTCTTTATAATTGGGTTTCTGTGTCTGATTATTTCACTGCATTCTTCAGTTTTGGCTTCCCAAGAGCCATGGGAGAAAATTAAGCAATGATGTGGACTTGAATCCCTGTAGGTTCACGGTCTTCACGCTTAGGCGGGCCTTTGGGGTGATCCAGTATCTTCCACAGCTTCTGTCTGTATCCGGCCCTGACCCCGAGCTTCCTCCCAGCACATGGCCTTGCTTCCAAGCTCTAATGAAATCCAAGCTCCAACTTCTTCTACCATCTGCAAACTCCAAACTTTTCTTTTTCTGGTCCTCCTTTTGTCCAGTCCGTTCTCTGAGCTTTGGAATCCATCCCTTCTGCTTCCCCAGAAACCTTCCCATCAGTATTAACCCTCTCTCTCTCGTGATCAACCTTTCTTCTCTTTTCTGTCCTTAGACACATGATCCATAGAGATGCTTGGTGGAAGGAGCCCTCCGTCAAGCGTCTCGTGCTTCACTGTGTCCTGCCTCTCCCTGTCCTGGCGCATCAGTAGTTACACCCCTCCTGGAACTGGTCTTCTCATCTCCCTGTGGCGACAGCCTCTTTTCTATCCGGTTTCTTGCATTCTCAGCAGTGTGTGACTTTGCTGACGGCTCTGTTCCTTTTGGAACATTATCTGTTCCCCTTCTTTGTTGTCTCTGTTCTTCTCACTCCCTCTGTGCTGTTGCTTCCACCTGCCCCTTCAGGATGGGTCTCTCTCTTCAGTATATTCCTTAGCTCTGTTCTCTGCCTACTCCCTCCTCCTGGACAACCTCATTCACACCATCTCTTCAATTACTGCATATATATTGATGACTGCCGGATCAATACCTCAGCCCAAGCTTCCCTCCCGAGCTCCAGACATCCATTTCCATCCGACTGCCTGCTGGACTTCTCTGCCTGTATCCCTCGGATACCTCAAACTGGCATGTTCAAACCAAACACTTCTCTCTTCCCAAACCTTGCATTCCCTGCCTTGGGTAGTGACACCATTACCTGTTTTGTTATATAAGTCAGAAGTCAGCATAGCCTTAGATTTCTTCTTATCCTGCACCCCTCCATATTTAACAAGGCTCTCTCCTCTTAACATCTCCTGTTTCACCTTTTTCCTTTTGGGGCAGGCACTAGCCTCCTTTCTTATGGATCACTGCCTAAAGGGGCCTCCATCTACCTTCCACCCATTTGGCAGTGGGACCTCCGCAAAAGGCAAGTCTGATCGTGTCCCTCTCTGAGGAGACACTGCAGGGGTCCCCAGGGCACCACACACTTACCTCCCATCTCCCTCAGTGGTTCCAAAACACTTGGGTTTCCTCTGTGCACTCTGCCCCTGGGCCTTTGCTCATGCTGGTTGTGCTACCTGAACTGCCCTCTCCTGTCCTTCCTCTGGCTAATTCCTGCCTATGTCTAAATTCTCAGTCCAAACAGCACCTCCTGCAGAGTGGCTTTCACAGTCCTCCTTCCTGATTTAGGTGCTTCCTCCTGTACATACTTGACAAATTCACTGGTCTTGCTCTCCAGGAAGAGTTTCTTCCTCTTGCAGTCACCTCTCTCTCACCAGAGTCAAACAGTGGCTGACACTGCAGAAGCCCAGCAGAATGGCTTGAGAAATAAATAATGAACTGCTTGGGAGGAGCAAGGGGAGGACCGAGTGACGGGGAGGGGCCGGGCATGCTTCCTGACTCAGCCCTCTCTTCTCAGGCAGTGGAGGAGTTGCTGGAGTCCTTGGACCTGGAGAAGAGCAGCTGGTGCATGGGCCTGAGCCGGGTGAGTTGCCCTCAGGTGGGCAGCTGGGCCCTTGCTCCCTGGTAGCTCTTGTGAAACGGCAGTCCCTCCACCCCTGTCTTCCCCACTTGGTCTTCAGAAGTCCCCCGTCTGAGTGCTCCCCTCAACCCTACCCCAGCTGCTCAGAGGCTGCCCCTCCTTGCAAGGGGCCCCCGTCAGGGACAGGAGCCAGGGAGTAGGTACTGCAAAACTTTTCACTTTCCTGCCTTGTGGATAACTGGCTTATTCAGTGCTGTGAACACCCGTGTGATGTCAGGAAGGAGTGGGCCGGAGGTGGCCTGGAACATGGCCTGAGTCCTGTGCGGCGGGGTGGGAGCCCCAAAGACCTGGGCTCAGAGGAGGTGGGCCAGGAGGAGCCAGCAGGCAGGAGGGAGAGAGCACCTGTGGGAGTTATCTACAACTGCCAGGATCCTGAAGAGCAAGCACCACTTGCCCGCAGGCTGAATTCCTCATCCGACTGGAACGTGGTGTGTTAAAGGGAGGCACACCCGGCTAGTGTGTCGCATTGCCCCATACCAGTGGCCTAGCCAAGCGCTCCTCCCACAGGCAGGGACCCCTGCACGCCCCATCCCACATGGGGAAGGTTGGACAGGTGACAACCACGTATGTGCTCTGAGGGCTGGGGTGAGTGGAGGACAGCGGGGAGCCAGAGTGGGGTTCTGGGTTGTCCTTGTCAGCAGAGAGGGAAGGAGCTCTGGGCTCAGGGAGTGCTGGGAGGCTGAGTTGGAAGGAAGTACTTGGAAAAAGCTTGCATGTTATTTGTCCCCTCTGTTCTCTGTCCTTTCTGTTGTCCGCCCTCCGTGTTGAGCATTTTGAGTTAGGGTCTTGGTTTCTCTGCCCCGCCGCTGTGAATCCCTTTCCCTCCGTCCCCATGTCTGTATTTTCCCATCTGTGTTCCTGCTGTGCTTGGCTTCCCCTTTTCCTCTGGGCCCCGGCAGCTCCTGCTGCTCTGTCCCTTGCCTTGTGGTTCTGTGTTTTCTTGTTTTTCTGCATGTTCTGTGTCTGTTGTGGCCCCATGCTCTCCCAGCATCATTTCCTGGTTCTAGTCTCTACTCTGTCTCCTACATTTGGTTCCCTCCTTCCTGTTTGCCCCTCTCCCCCTGCCTTTTCTTAGGCTCAGGGGCTGCCAACTGGGCTTCCTTTTGAGCCTGTCTGCAGTCAGGGTCATTCCTTCAGCTGTTCCATGTCTCCAGGTTTACCGGTCCTTACTCCGGGCTCCTACCCTTCTAGTAGGCTGGCCTACTGCTGGCTGGCAATGGGGGTGCTCCCCTCCAAGCGGTTCCCAGGTTCCCAAGCACATCTTGGGCAGGAGCGGACCTGTGTGAGCTGGTCCACTTCCAGCTGCCATCTCAGACCTCTGTGATCCTGAGTCCTCTCAGATGCCCCACTAAACCAGGGGAGACCGTGGGCCCACTTGTGCCCAAGGGCAGGGAAGGGCAGGGCACAAGGTTGGATGTTTGCTCCTGTGTAGCTAGGGAGAGTGAGCTTGGTCTTGCAGGCTGCGGTTAGGTGAGGGGGGATCCCGGCATGTTTGCTCATCACTGTGCTTTAGAGGAAGGGTCTCCACCTGAGCTCCCAGGGCCCTGAGGGTTTGGGTAAGGACCAGGGAGTCTGAGAGCCTTATGACATCATAAAATCTGTATGAATGGGTATTTGGGGAGGAGATGGCCCTGAACTTTCATCTAATACTCAAAAGGACCCTTAATGCCACAAGTGTTCAGAAGAGCTCTGAAGCTCACTGCCCCAGCCTCAAGACTATTCTTTCTCTTCTCCTTACGTTTCTTGGCCATTCTCTGCCCCCTGCACCAGCACCTCCCTCCTACCCTGGGCAGGTCTGCATGTGTGCTAGCCAAGCATGTTTGTGGGGTGGGGGTGGCGCTTGTTCTTCCCTTTCCTCACCCAGTGGAATTTCAGGCTCACACGGTCCGGGAAATTGAAACTTGGGTCAGGCGTAAGACCCACGGGGGATCCTGCTTAGCCTTACCTGCAGGATTTGGGGAAGCTTCGCAAAGGACTGAGCTTTTTACAAGCTGAGCCTCAGGGGACAAGGCTTCTGTAGAATGTTCGGAGACACAGCTCTCTCAGCAGAAGGTTTAGGCTGTCTCCCCACATCTTCCCTGAAGGGAGTCTTGGTGTACTCCGAGCCCAGCGGTGTCCTGAGTACATTTACATAACCTGTGTTTCCCACGGAGGGCACATCTTCTCCGCCCCACCAAGGGAGTCTGTGCCAGGTGCAGGTGGGCATATACCCACGTTTCCCTTTGCCCTCTCTTTCACCTGACCATTCCTCTTCCCACTCCTTTTCTTTTAGTAGGGAGCTTTCACCCAACCCCAGCTCAGGGCAGCAGAGTGAGGCACGGTGTGGGGGCGCCCAGCTGTTCCTCGCTGGGCTGCCCTCCAGCCCCCAAACCTGTAGGACGGGTCCCTCGATGGGGCCAACTCCCGCCCACCTCACATGAGAGAAGGTGAGACCTGGGTGTGTGGAGGGGTGGAGCGCTGACACATGAAAGAGGAGACTGGCTGCAGTGAAACCAAGCAGGAGGGCGAAAGGGCAGGAGCTTCCCACAGCTCCCCACGCCCTGCTCCCTCTCATGCTGCTTCCTGGATCCTCTTCTCAAACCAGGCGTCTTCCCCTGTCCTCTTCGCCTGACACCAGGCACCTGGAGCCAGGGTTGGGCCCTGCGGTGGGGTACAGCACAGGGGACATTGACAGTGTTGCCACCAGTCTTGGGGGAGCATCACATCTGTTGCTGGGGCTGTATCGTCTCCCTAGTTCCGCAGTGATTACTTCCTTTCCCTCTCTGGCCCAGGTGCCTTTGGTGTTTGGCTTTCCTGCCTTTCATTCCTCTTTGAAGTTTGATTTCCTTCCTTGATCCTCTCTACCCAAAACCTCCCCAGCCCAGCCTGGGCCTTGCCTGTCAGGGCCTCCCAGGGCCTGTTCTCGCTCCTCCCCTCCTTTCTTGGACAAGTGGATTTTCAGGCCCTTCCCAAACCGAGGACCACACTCCCTGGCCTGCTGCCTCCCTGTGCCAGCTGCTTGCCCCTCCCTCTCCCATCTTGCCTCCCTGTCCTCCCCTCAGCTGCTTGATCCAGTCTCTGGCCCTTACCTGTCTGCTTCTCCCAACAGGTGTTCTTCCGAGCAGGCACATTAGCACGACTGGAGGAGCAGCGGGATGAGCAAACCAGCAGGCACCTGACCCTGTTCCAGGCGGCCTGCCGGGGCTACCTTGCCCGCCAGCATTTCAAAAAGAGAAAGGTGCCGTGCTAGGGACACCCTAGCCTATATAGCCGAGTGCCTGGGCAAGGGCAGGGAACATACAGGGGCGGGAGGTCTTAGGGTTAAGGGTTATCATCCTCTAGGGGAAGAGAGGTGGGAACCTCCCAGGAGCACCGAGCCCTGGGCCAGTGAGGGGAAAGCACTGGTATGCCCAGCAGCAGGGCCGTGCGGACTGGTTGGGGCGCTATGTGGAGGGGTGGAAAGGAAGCAGGGCCCAGGCAAAGGTGGGCTCTGGATCACAGGCTGCTCCATGAAGATTAAGGAGCTGTGTCAGCGACTCTTTTTCTTATTAGCAAGTCCATAAAACAGCCAGCACCGCCGCCTCTTGTGTTTCAGCAAGATTAGGTTTTATAGCACAGCTAGGACAGGGTGCTGGAAATAATCAGGCAGCAAATAAAGCAGATGACATTATTCCTAATGACGGTGGAGTGCTTAGTGCCCAGCGTGGTGCTCCTAGGACCACCCACCCCCTGAGAGGTACAGGGAGAAGGAAGCAAGGTGGGGCATGCGAAGGGTGTGACCCAGGGTCAGGAGGCCAGAGGAACAGGCTCAGGGCTTTGCTGGTGGCAGGCTTCCCCCTTGAGGGGAACTGAGAGCCCTGCCATGTGCCGTCCCCACTCCAACTGCAGATCCAGGACCTGGCCATTCGCTGTGTGCAGAAGAACATCAAGAAGAACAAAGGAGTGAAAGACTGGCCCTGGTGGAAGCTCTTTACCACTGTTCGGCCCCTCATCGAAGTACAGCTCTCAGAGGAACAGATCCGCAACAAAGACGTACGTGACTGCCTGGGGCAGCCAGGTCCCTAGGAGGAAATTCACCTATGCAAGGGTGTTACCTCCTTGTCTTGGGCTCGAAGGTGCTCCTTGTTTAGTATAAAGAGCTGGGGTTCTTGAACTAAGCCCATGAAGCAGGTGACCTCTAGGATACTGCCTGGGCCCCTGGGTAGGCTCTTAAAATAAATTCGTGGGCAATGTCAGCTTATGGGGAAGGGTCAATGGACAGAAGCCCTGGAAAGCAGTGGCTGCTCTATTGGGAATGTGCTTTCCCCTGTGTCCTGGCCTGAACTTCATCAGCTTCACTCACCACAAGCGTGCAGACAGCCCCTCAGCCCCTCATGGCCCTTCACTTTGCCCTCCCTGCCCTGCCCTAGGAAGAGATCCAACAGCTGAGAAGCAAACTTGATAAAGTGGAGAAGGAGCGGAATGAGCTGCGACTCAACAGTGACCGGCTGGAGACCCGGGTGAGTGGCTCCTGGAAGCAGACAGACTGGCCCACTGTCACAGGGTGCCTCAGCCCCCAGAGGCCCTCCCTGAGTAAGACAGGTGCTTCAACTGGTGCTGACCCTCCCCCCACCCCAGATCTCGGAGCTGACATCGGAGCTGACGGATGAACGTAACACGGGAGAGTCCGCCTCCCAGCTGCTGGACGCAGAGACAGCTGAGAGGCTCCGAGCGGAGAAGGAGATGAAGGAGCTGCAGGTGAGGGCAGGGCTGGGTGAGGATTGCAGGCTAGTGACCACCACAGTCTGCTTCCCCGAAAGCCAGTTGACATCTTCTCCATTAGCCTGGCATCCCTGTCTGTCCTGGTAAGCGTGCGATGTGATCTGTGTGGTTCAGGGCGTGAGTGGGGTAAGTGATGGGGAGAGGGATGCACCCCACAACCCTGTCTCCCACAGACCCAGTATGATGCACTGAAGAAGCAAATGGAGGTCATGGAAATGGAGGTCATGGAGGCCCGGCTCATCAGGGCGGCTGAGATCAACGGGGAGGTGGATGACGATGATGCAGGTGGGTCTGAGGTGGAGGACCTAGGCACTGGCCTAGGTGTCAATCCCTGAAGTCCACCCCTGGTCAGTCCTCCCCCGACTTCAGGCCTGTCTCCCTTTATAATATCTCCCACCCCATGCCAGGCTATTCTAAAACTAAAGTGAATCCAGGTGTGGTGGCACACACTTGGGAGACTGAGGCAGGCATGAGGTCACCCCAGTCTGGGCAACTTGGCAAGATTGTCTCAAAATAAAAAATAAAAAGGCTGGAGCTGGGGGAATAGCTCAGTGGTAGAGCACTCCTGGGTTTGATCCCCAGTACCACCAAAATACTAGCGTGAAAATAGATGAGAAAGTAAAGGTGCTGGTAAGTGCAGAAAATTAAAAGCCATGGTAATGACAGTGTCTGAGGGCCACCATCCTTGCAGTTCTCAGGGAAAGGACGACACATGTCCCTACATCACCCCCTCTAGTTTTCTCCCTGTTAGTTGTTCCTTCTGCCCTGGTTCAAAGCCGTCATTCCAGAGATCTCCTGAGTCTCTCTGGAAGGCTCCACCTTCTGCTCTTTCCTGGCCCTCTCCTTCCTCTCTGTACCATCTTGAGAACTCTTACCACTTCTGTCCCCAACCCCCACTACCGTCTGCCCCCAAACCCACAGGGGGCGAGTGGCGGCTGAAGTATGAGCGAGCTGTGCGGGAGGTGGACTTCACCAAGAAGCGGCTCCAGCAGGAGTTAGAGGACAAGCTGGAGGCGGAGCAGCAGAGCAAGAGGCAGCTGGAGAGGCGGGTGAGGCTGACCAGGGAGTAGCGGCCTGTGCCTGCAAGGGCACGGTAAACAGCTAGAGACAGGCAGGCCTGGGAGGATCAGGGAAGGTTGGCGTATTAGCCTGTCCTGCAGGGACAACCAGGAACAAACTGCTGATAGAGCGTCTTGGGTTTCCAGGATGGCCCTGACCTCACCCCTCACCCCTAGGTCTTCCCCTTACCACCCACCTCCCTTACCTCACCTTCTCCACCCTTGCTTTTGGGCCTCTCAATGATTGCTGGTGTTGCATCCCATCTGGGCCTCTAGATCGGGGACCTGCAGGCAGATAGTGACGAGAGCCAGCGGGCTCTGCAGCAGCTTAAGAAGAAGTGCCAGCGGCTGACAGCCGAGCTGCAGGACACCAAGCTGCACCTGGAGGGCCAGCAGGTCCGAAACCATGAGCTAGAGAAGAAGCAGAGGAGGTGGGTGGCCCTGCCCAAGGCTCAGAGGGCCTTCTAGAGCAGCCACAGATAGGACTCCCTCCCTGACCCCCAGAGGGGAAGAAAGAAGGGAAGACCTGAATTTGGCCAGGATGCCTGGCTGGCCATTCGTCCTGGCCTGTGAATGGAGACTCACTGTGCTGAGACCATGTCCCCACTGAAGGCCCACACAAGCCTCTGTGCAGAGGTCTCCACCCAGTGTGTGCCTGTCACCCCCTCCCAGGCCCAGTGAGGATGGGTGTAGCCAGGGCCCATGCAGGAACCGCCGTGCCCCTGCCCCTGCCCCTGCCCCTGTCCCTGCCCAGCTTTGTCTGTGTCTGTTTCCCTTGCCTCAGCTACACAAACACACTCTCCTGACTAATGTCGTTAAACTACCGTGCCACTTCCATCTCATTATGGTAATGACACAAAGGAGGGGGGCAGCCCTCACAGGAGAAAATCCAATCTAAATTAATTTCCCTGGCTGGGGATGGGAATGGGACGCCTTTATTAGCAGCACCAAAGAGCCCACACACCCTGGGAGCAGCAGGGTGCCCCAGGGAGTAGAAACAGCGCCCATTTCCCCTCGGCAGGGAAGAGCTTCTGGCAGAGGCATCAGTTGCTTCTGTGAAGGGTCCTGGGAGTGAGGCGGGCAGAGCAAAGCGCCCCCAGCAGCCAGGGTTACCTTATCCTGCTGGACTTCCTGCCATCTTCCCTGCTGGCTGCTGCTCCAAGGAAAGTGAGGGAAAGTAAAAAGCTTTTCTGTCCCAGCACATGGCAGTCCACTTCCGCTATTGTTTTTTTTTTTCTTTTTCTTTTTTTTTCACTTCCGCTATTCTTATCTTCACCCTCATTCTGCCCTTTTATCCAAAAGCTGGCACTCTTGGCAGTGCCCCCCTTCTGAGCCCCCTGATGACAGTGCCAGCTCAGCCTAGTTACTATGTCACCGCACTCCTGCTGGGCAACTTATTAGGTTTCAGCTGCCCGGAGTTTTCTTACTTTTTTTGACGTGAGGTTGGTGGGGGGAAGCTGTTCAATTTCCACAGGAACCTGATTAGCTATTCAGGGAAGGTATTAAGAGGAATTTCAGCAATTTGCTCCTTATTTAGAGTCATTGGGTGGGAAATGGAAGGCTGGCAAGTGGAAGGGTGACAAAAGAGGCCCCCAGTAGTGTGCCCATCGAAGCACCCTACCAGCTGGGCCTGGAAGGAATGCTGGCTTTGAGCCCAGCATGCTGTGTCCTGGTGGTGACCTGGGTGCTGCTGGGCAGGTGGTCTTGGCCAAAGGCTGGTCCCCTGGGGTAGGAGCCAGAACCAGCAGCCCCACATGCAGTAGCCAAGTTGACTTGTAGAGAATAAGTTGGACGAGGCAGGACATCTATTTCTACCTGTTCTGATGCCCAGTCTGCCCTCATCCTGACTCTTTTTCTTTGATTTGTTGAAATGGAAAATATGGAGATTTAATTCCTGAAGACAGAGTCTGTCTGCCTCTTCCCTAGGAGCAGACTGTGGGGTCCTCTTAGGCCCCTTCTTAGGTGCAAGAGCTTCTCTTGCACCCTGGCTCAAAGAAATGTCCTGCAACATAGGCCTGGCTGCTCAGCATAACCTCAGTAGCTTCTCTGTAACACTTGAATGTTACCCTCACCTCACCACTGGCCCCCAATTAGAGCTACCTACCCCATCCCTAGCACTGCTTTTGTCCCATCCATATCTATGGCAGCACTTCCTGGCAGGCTGTGTATCAGGGACCCAGACCCTGTCCATACCTAAGACCACTACGCCTTCTCCTAGATTTGACAGCGAGCTCTCACAAGCACATGAGGAGGCCCAGCGAGAGAAGCTGCAGCGGGAGAAGCTGCAGCGGGAAAAGGACATGCTGCTGGCTGAGGCATTCAGCTTGAAGCAACAAATGGAGGTCTGTGGGTCCACCTTTCTTTGGTGCTCGGTCTTCCCTGCAGGCTGGGGCCAGCTCCACACCATCCACATCTTGTCTCTTGCTCCAGGAAAAAGACATGGACATTGCAGGTTTCACCCAGAAGGTTGTTTCACTGGAAGCTGAGCTCCAGGACATTTCTTCCCAAGAGTCCAAGGATGAAGCCTCTCTGGCCAAGGTCAAGAAGCAGCTACGGGACCTAGAGGCCAAAGTCAAGGATCAGGAAGAGGAGCTGGATGAGCAGGCGGGGACCATCCAGATGCTGGAGCAGGTGCCAGAGGCTTGGCCAAGGGAGGGATGAGGCATGGTAGGAGCCACTGCCATCCCACTACTAACCGGGGTATGGGCCAGGGGAGAGCAAAATCCACATTCACTCATTGACTTGTTCATTCATTCACCATCTCGCAAAATGCTGAGTGAGTACTTGATCTATGCCAGCCACAGTGTGAAAGCAATTAAGCATTCCACAAATACAGATCTTGGTTGAGCTTTAGTGGTGAGGGGTTCAGGAGGCACTGAAGCCAGAGGGCCATGAGCCCACCCAGCCAGCCTTGGAGCTGCCAAGTTGGTTCAGGGAGCTACAGCCTGCAGGCCAAGTGGAAACCCTGCAGGATTGTCCACACCCCCGGCAGCCTCTCCTTGGGCCTGTGCCAGAGATCTAGTAAGTTCAGCTTCTCTGGGGAAGACGGCTGCCACAGAGCAAGGTGCAGGCAAGCAAGGGAACTGGTAGGTGAGATGTTCTCTGCCCCTGGGCTTGGGAGAGCTGCACGTTGTGGCAGAGCCTTTCTGGAAAGGAAATCCAGTTCCTACCCCTGACCACATCCAGGCTAAGCTGCGTCTAGAGATGGAGATGGAGCGGATGAGGCAGACACATTCCAAAGAGATGGAGAGTCGAGATGAGGAGGTGGAGGAGGCCCGGCAGTCATGTCAGAAGAAGGTATGGTATCTGGGTGGTGACCTGACCCGTGCAAACACCTGTTCCCTTATCACTACTTTATTTTTATTTATTTATTTATTTTTATCTTTTTGAGACAGCGTCTCACTGTGCAGTTCAGGCTGGCCTTGAGCTCACTTTGTAGCCCAGGCTGGTCTCGAACTCACAACCATCCTCCTGCCTCAGCCTCCCAAGTGCTGGAATTACAGGCATGCACCACCACGCCTGGCTTCTTATCACTACTTTAAATTGAGGGGCTTGGTGCCTTTATCTTAGCCACATTGCTTTCCATTGCCATTCTGGACCAGGAATCTCCTCTCAGCATTCTAGCATGGACTGGGATGTGTTCTCCAGAGCGTGTAAAAAAGCTTGGACCCTCAAAAGACCCATGTTCCCTGTCTTCTGTGCAAAGTAGCAGCCTGCTGTATACCAGCTGTGATATTCTGGGGCTGCCTGAAGTCATTTAGCCTGGTTGACCAGATGGAACCCCACTCTGTAATGAGGTCTACTGTAGAATGGGTAGTCACTTTATGGCCCATTCCCATCCCAGCCACTCTGAAACACTAAGAACTTGGAATACAGTTCAGACTTGTCTAAGGTCACCCATGCTCAGCCCTGCCCCACTGTTTTCCTGGGGCTGAAGACCCAACAGGGAAAGGGATTGCCTGCTCTTGGACTAAAGGGACATGTCACTCCAGTTAAAACAGATGGAAGTGCAGCTTGAGGAAGAGTATGAGGACAAACAGAAGGCACTTCGGGAGAAGCGGGAGCTGGAGAGCAAGCTCGCCACACTTAGTGACCAGGTGCGCTGGGATGCCTGCTGCTGGGCCTAGAGATGCGGATCCTGGAGACAGAAAGCTGGGAGCGGGCAGGGGTGGAGGTGCTCTGCAGCACTCACCGTCGTTGCTGCAGGATGGGGGCATACTTCCTTGTTGGCCTTTGTGATCCTGGTGTGTCCAGTATCCTTAGTCATTTAGGGGACTCTCAGGATAAGAGCAGAGATGAGAAGGGTCAGAGGTGACAGGAGGAGGCTCTGTGGTGGAGCCCAGAGCCCCGACTCTGGTGCCTACCCAGGTGAGCCAGCGGGACTTTGAGTCAGAGAAGCGGCTGCGGAAGGACCTGAAGCGCACCAAGGCTTTGCTGGCAGATGCCCAGATCATGCTGGACCACCTGAAGAACAATGCTCCCAGCAAGAGGGAGATCGCCCAGCTGAAGAACCAGGTACTGCTGGGCTTTTTCAGTTCTCTTTCTCCTCATTCCTCTTCAGTACCTTTTAAGTCCTTGGGAAGGAAAGTGACACTGGCAGAAGCTAGTTCCCAGTGTGTGTATGCTGTGTGGCCTGATTGCCAAGCCCCAAGGTGAAGATACCCCTAGCCATCCCCATCACAAGAAGAGATGCCCATGCATACACCAGGGTACAGCTTTAACCCTGGATCTGAAGTGGGGAGGGGGAGGAGGAGGAGAGTGTCTGGGCCCCCTTTTCCCCTTGAGGACCTTGCACAGCCCTCCTGCTGGCAGGGAATGGCTAATGTCTCACCCTGGGGCGGGGACGGCTCTGTATCCAGCTGGAAGAGTCAGAGTTCACCTGTGCAGCAGCCGTAAAGGCACGGAAAGCAATGGAGGTGGAGATCGAAGACCTACATCTGCAGATTGATGACATCGCCAAGACCAAGACAGCGGTGAGGCTTCAGAGGGTACAGGGCTGGGCTCCTGGGGTTGCTGCCAAGCAGAGCACAATGACAGTGGCTGCCTTCACTCCAAACAAGCCCCTTCACACCAGGGCTCTCTGCAAGGACAGTGGCTTCCCCTCCTCTGCTTCTCTGCACTCAGAACAGAAGCCTGGAAGGAGAGCGGAGGAGAAGAGAGCTGACCAACTCAAGTCCTTGTTTAACCGCCTGCCTATGGGAGCTTGGCCACAGACCCCAGCACCATAAATAAAGGCAGCTAATGTGGCTGAGAGGTGTAAACATGTGCCTCAAGATTCGCAGAAGCACCAATAAGAGGACGGGATGGCTTTGGCTTCCCTTCCTTCCCCCTGCCCAGCCCACTGACAAGCCAGAGAAGCAGCTAATTACAGCTTTTATTTAATGCCTCCCTTTTAATTCCCTACCTCTCCCACGGCCCATCCATCGGCAGCTAATTCACCACCGGATGTGGTCACCCGTACCTTCACCAGAAATGAGACAGGGGAGGAGGCTGGGTTTAGCTATTGGTTTCATGACCTGCTAGATAGTCACCCCGCTGCCGAGAGATGCCAATCTCACGAGCTTGATTTATCCTCGTGACATTTGTGCTCCTCAGCAGTTTTCAGGTGAGTAATTCAAATTCCTTAATTGTGTTAAAAAAGGCTGTTATAAAATTACCATTTTATTTAAATCCGAGTTAATAAATTTCTTGGCGGAGGCTTTCCCAGCTCCCCACAGCCCAGTAACAAGATGGATTGGGCAGAGAAGGAGCCAACGCAGTCATTTTGGTTTGGAATTACAGGCTAATAGATTCATTCATTTCCCGAAGCTGCTGTTGGCTGTCTCTTCCCTGCCCCCAAGGAGTGGACTGGCTGTGGGGACTGAATGGCACAGAAGTGGGCAGTCCCAGGGGAAAGAAGAATCCAGGCCGGGGGGTGCTAGCATCTGAGGGGTCCTACCCTGAGGCGTGCAGCGGGCAGAGTGTGCGCAGGTCAGGGCCTATGCTGATGGTGCCAGGACGATGGGTCATTTGTTCTGGGCAGACTTTTTCTGTCTTCTCATTAGCCTTGAAAGAGCTGCCAGAAGGCAGCTGTCATTTAGTGTACAAGCCCAGGGCCTGCCTGTCCACAGACAGCCTTTTCCCTCATCTCCCTGCCAAGAACACGGCAGGCAGCTCCCTGAGCATCCCGTCCTGGAACCCATCATCTCCCCATCCCACTGCCATCCCTCCCTACAGCAGGTGGCGCAGGGACAGGTTTGGACTTGCTATGAGAGGTCTTAGGCACAGCAGGTCTGATGCCCTCTGATTCATCTCTATCTCTGTCCAGCTGGAGGAGCAGCTGAGCCGCCTTCAGCGTGAGAAGAATGAGATCCAGAACCGGCTAGAAGAGGATCAGGAGGACATGAATGAGCTGATGAAGAAGCACAAGGCCGCCGTGGCTCAGGTACCCCCACTAGGAGTGTCTCACTGTGCTCCACACAGTCACCGTCTTTCTGAGCAGCATTTTTGGTCCCCAGTGCAGCCGCTGTCCTAGGGAGGCTGCAGTGTGGAAGCTGGGGTGCCTGGCCCTCGATGGGGGAGAGGGCTGGATGTGTGGTTAGGGCAATCCAGTGCCCGTGCTCTCGCTTCTTTCCCAGGCCTCACGAGACCTGGCGCAGATGAATGATCTCCAGGCTCAGCTAGAAGAAGCCAACAAGGAGAAGCAAGAGCTGCAGGAGAAGGTGGGCAGCGGGCTCTCTTGGTAGAGAGGGAGCAGGTCCCTATAGGGGGATGTGTCCCTAAGCTCAGAGTATGGAAAGCTTCTCTTTGCTGTTAGTGTTCCACAGAGCAGTGTAAACTAGCAGGAAGAGCTAGGCTTGAAGCCACCGCACCATAGCACATATTTTGGCTTTGGCTGCCTCATTTCACATTTCTATTCCCGCTCTGATCCTTAGCAGTCTCCTTTCTCTCTGAAGGGCAAGCTCTATGCCAAGGCCTAGTGCAGGTGGGGAAAGCTTCTGGCTCAGGGGTCCCTCCTTCCTCCCTTCCCTGTGCATCCCTCCCTGCCTCAGCCTTCTGGTCACCATGGTGATATCATCTGCCCCCTCCCTTTCTGGGCTCCGTTCTTTCTTCTCTTGTTCCCCAACCCCCTTTCCAGCTCCAAGCCCTCCAGAGCCAGGTGGAGTTCCTGGAGCAGTCCATGGTGGACAAGTCCCTGGTGAGCAGGCAGGAAGCAAAGATCCGGGAGCTGGAGACACGCCTGGAGTTTGAAAGGACCCAAGTGAAGCGACTGGAGGTGGGTTCATTTTTCCTGGTCGGTGGCAAACAAGGCAGAGGTGCCCCAGTGGCTGGAACCACGCATGCTCGCAGGGCTGGGCAGGCCAGGGACTCCCCTCAGAGGCCTCTGCCAAGCTGCCAGGCCAGCTGACGGGGCGGGGGCTCCCCTCCTGCGCCTGGCCTGCTCTCTGGGCACCACGGAGCCTGCCTGCTTTGCATTCTGTTTCCGTGCTTGCTTTCTGCCAAGGGACCAGAGCAGCTTAGCTTTTCGTCTTCATATTTTCCTCTGCCACAAGCTCCCCCCTCTTGTCCCCCTCACTCGGCTCTCTGGCAGGGTCATAAATATGCAGCGGATGGCGCCACTGCTCCAAGGGTTGAAGTCTGTTCGCATCTCATAGCTCTCTCCTCCTCTCCCCTTCCCTTTTGCATTCCCTTTTTTCCTGCCCTCTCTGCTCTGCTTTTTCTCCTTTCTTGTCATTTTCCTTTGTTGTTGCTCTATTTTTTCCTCTCCCTCTGTATTTTTCCTCTGCCCCATCTTGTCCCTCTTTCTTACCATCTTCCTACATCTTCCTTTCTCCCCTTCCCATTCCTGTGTTCGCATTATTTTTCATTGTTTAACCCGTCTCTCTCTTTTATCTCTTTTCTTCATCTTTGTAACCCTTCTTCTTCCCAATGGAATCTCCTTACCCTAATTCAGTCCTTTCTCTTCCGGTCTCTGGAAGCCAGCATGCTCCAACCCTCCCTCTGTAGTAGAGCAGATAAGAAAAAAGAAGCAGGCAGAATCATCTCTCTGGGTTTATACCCCTCTTGCCTTATTTTTAAGTTTTCCTTCCCTAGCTTATCAGCAGTTGTCTGAGCACCGTTAGTCCCATCTGAGCACTGTGTTCATGGGTGTGGATGCTGAGAAGCAGCCCTGCCGCCTGCCCCTCCAAGCCCTCAGTCCAAGAGGCAGGGATGGAGGCAAGTGAGCAGCCAAGGGCATTGATAACCTCGACGCAGGAAAGGAGCATGCCTGCAGCTCTCAAAACAGGGTCCTCGTCCTTAGGAAAGACAGAGAAAACTTGATAGTGCATTTTCTGGCCCCCATAGCACCAAGATAGTTGAGAATATTTTGATCCCCATTTCACATACAGGAAAGGGTTCTGTGAGTTGCCCAAGGTCACAAAGCTGTCAAGGGCAGAAGAGGCCACTGGGCTGGTGCATATAGGACCAATCTGCTGGATTTGTCTCCTTTTCTCTTAGACCCCCGGTTCCCTTCTGCTCAGCAAGACTGTACTGTGGTTTGGACTCATAGTGTTGAACACAAATGGCCCTTAGCAACCTCGTAGCCTGGGTCTGTTCCTTTGGAAATGTAAAGATGGGGAAGTCCATCAGTGGTAGAAGTGGATTAGACCAGAGATAGAGTCCTTTCCTCACACTCTGCCCCTGGCTCCGTGTCATTTTTGCTCAGCGTCCTACTCCCTAGCCAGGAAAAATCAGTTCAAGTTTATGGGGGAAGAAAGATTCATTAGTCTTAGAGAGAAAATCTCTGTTTCAAATCTGAGGACTGTTTAGTCTCCTCCTAATCTGGGAATTCCCAATAAAGCCAGTTACCTCTGAGCCTAGAATCTAACTTTTAGGGGTTGTGGGTTCATCCTCTGAGAAAAGCCACCATGACCACAGAGACACGTACAGGACAGACCCAGGCTCCACAGAGACACCTACTTGTCAGGCGCAGGCTCCCTCAATTTTGGCACCGTAATAATGACCACAGCATTTCCTCTGCCCAGATGCCTTCCCACTCACTACCTTGTGTAGTCCTCAAAGACTCTTAGGAGCAGGTGTCATCCTCACCATTTTACAGAAAAGCAAAGAAGCCTGGAGGGCTTTAGTTGCTTGCCATGTAGCCAGAGGTATGAGTAGTGAAACCAGAGTCTGGCTGAAACCCGATGCAGAACCCTAATGCACCCCCTTCTGCCTGTCTGATGATGGACTCACCTGCTGGCCTTTCTTCCCACCTGCCTGGTCAGAGCCTGGCCAGCCGACTCAAGGAAAACATGGAAAAGCTGACTGAGGAGCGGGATCAGCACACTGCAGCTGAGAACCGAGAGAAAGAGCAGAATAAGAGGCTACAGCGGCAGCTCAGGGACACCAAGGAGGAGATGGGCGAGCTCGCCAGGAAGGAGGCAGAAGCAAGCCGCAAGAAGCATGAACTGGTAATGTCCCCCCACTTCCCCCAGACCCTGAGCTGGAGATCCTCTGAGGAACACCAAGTGCACACCTCAGCCTGGGCTTGTTGCGAGTAGGAAAGCCCCAAGGACAGACAGGCTGGTGGTGCCAAGGGCGGCACCAGTCTCCCTCAGGCAAGGCCAGGCCCTACCACCCAGCAACCCCAGAGCAGAGAGAGCTCCGGAGGCTTGGAGCAGCACCCAGGTAGCTTCTGCCCAGCTGGCAGAGACTTGCTGCAGCCCCTTCTGGACCCGCTGCACACTGGACCCCCTCCCCCTCCTAGGAGATGGACCTGGAGAGCCTGGAGGCTGCTAACCAGAGCCTGCAGGCTGATCTAAAGCTGGCGTTCAAGCGTATTGGGGACCTGCAGGCCGCCATTGAGGATGAGATGGAGAGTGACGAGAATGAGGACCTCATCAACAGGTGAGAGGTGGCCTCTGTGGCACTGTGGCCAGCATGCTGGCCCTCTTAACTGCCTCCGGAACCATGCCATAGGTGACAGCTGCATCCTCCGCCTCCCCATCACTGAACCACCCCCTGAACCCTCCCCTTTGCTGCGGATCCAAACCTGGGCTTGGGCCTAGGGGAGCTAGGGCTGGAGCAAGTACTGAGGGTGAGGCACCCTCCTCTCAGCCCTCTGCTTCCCTCCCCAGGCTTCCTGAGGACCTGACTCTCCAAGCTCTGCCTATTCTAGATGAGTTATTCTCCCGTTTAGCTGCATTTCCGATGGCGCCTGCCCCACTCTGGGGAGAGCAGAGATTTAAAGGCTGTGGTGCCTTGTTACTGTGCTAGAGATTTTCTCTCATAAAACCTACCCAGGGAATGGTTTAGGAGAGAGAGAGATTTGTAGTCCTAGGCTAAGGAGAAAGTCACAAAGCAGAAAGACCAGCAGTGTGGGGGTGGGGCCCAGCCTGCCAAAGCCACCTGAGACTAGGCTGGGCAGACTCACAGACCTGCCCGCATCCCTGTTCAGGCCCAGGCCCCCTCTTACAGGCAGATGCAGGGTGCCTCCTGCCCCTTGGAGACTGGGGACTGGTGCCCAAGGTGGCCCAAGCCAGGTTCTAACGACACCAGTGTTCCAGCTAGCCCATCAGCCTGGTCTCAGCCAATCTTGATGAGAAAAGAGAGCTTCGGCTGAGTGGTCCACCACTGATTTTTCTGTCTGCTTCCCCTGGCCCTCATACCCACCATTTTCTTTCTGTTTCCAGTTTGCAGGACATGGTGACAAAGTATCAGAAAAGAAAGAATAAACTGTGAGGACTGGAGCACATGCGCTCTCTGCCTCTCCTGTTGGGTGTCTAACCACCCCTAACACGGGGCTCCCCTCAGGGTCCCTGCTGCATGCCGCATGTGGACACACAGCTTCCCCACATTCTCTTCCCTAGCTGGTCTCTAATACTAACACTGCTGACTTTCCCCTGGGAGACAGGAGGGCTGGGCCCTGGTAGAAGCAGAGGGCAGGCAGTGGGGTGTGCTCCTCAAAAGGCTGGGTTGGCCTTCACACCTGTGGTGTGCAGGGTGGCGGCTCCCTCAGAAAGGAATATTCAGGCTCCTTTGGCTATACTTCTGGTCTGCCTTCCTGAGTTCCAGCTGACCCTCCCTCAGAAGCCAAATATGGTCCTCCCCTGGCCTATTCTTTGGGAAGATGTCTGTTCAGGCTGCATTTGTCCAAATCTTTGGGCTCATTTGCTTGAAAGGATCAGAGATATGTTTCATGTTTAAGGTCTGCCACCTTCCTTTGGCAGACAAGGGTAGAAGGTGAGGGGCATCTAACGGCTGCTTGTTTGGAGAAAGCATTCAGGCAGCTAATCATAGGTCAGTCTGCTGTGGCAGGGGAAGGGAACAGGGCCAGTGTGTTTACTTTGTTCCCTGTAGGCAGCGAGGCAGGGGGGCCAGGGTGTCTGGGTTGTCCTGTCTGTCAGGTGGCAGGAAGCCCAGGAAATCTTTTTCCTCTTTCTGGGTGGGAGCTAGACAGTAGATGCAGATTCACAGGCCTTCAAAATGATCTGGCTGATGCTCTGTCAAGTTCGGCAGGATTGTTTTTTTAGTGTGGCACTGGATTTCCTCCCCCACTCTCTTGCCTGGCAGGCCTCTTCCCCTGGTCAGGATGGGCTGGCGGCCGTGCAAAGGACTCCGTGAGAGCTAATGATAAATGTAATAGTGTGTAACAGTGATAGAGGGCCGCTGGAGCCCGGTTGTCACACACAATTAATATCCCCCGCCGTTCTGTCTCCGTTTGTTTGTTCCCCCGCGATTCGGCTCCCAGTTAACTAATAGCACATGAGCCCAGACATAAATTGTATTTGACGTGAGGTTTAATTCCAACCATTTAAAATTTCAACTGCCCCCTGAGCCTGGCTGCCCCTGGAGTTTGTTTACGGCCCTGATTATTTAAGGAAAAGAACCCGAACATCATCTGGATGCTTGCAACTAAAGGGAAAGTGAGGGAAGGGAGGCTAGCTTCTCAATCCATTCGCTGCTCTGAATATAAGGAGGAAAATTCGTATTCTGGGCCCGTGTCAGTCTGTCCCCTGTGTGTTCCAGCCCTGCCATCCTTGGGCAGTAGGAGCTTCGAGGGCTGATAAAATATGCATTTAAGATCATATTCCAAACCAGTGCCAAGAACACACAGACTTGCATGCGTGCACGCGCGCGCATGCACACACACATACACCAGCGTGCACTCAGCGCAGGCGCAGGGAACGTGCAGTTCTAACCGGATTCCCGCTGACAGCAGAGTTGGTGAGGCTCTTTGCTCAGCAGCTCTGGGCCCCAGCTCCAAGTTATCGAGTGAGCGTGCTAAGGCGGGCAGAAAAATAATGTTTCGATTTACTTAGAGATACAGTTGTTATTGCCATAACCTTAATGAAAGCAGTAAACAGTGCAGTATTAAGGGAGATTTATACAGAAACGCTTTTAACATGTAGACATAGATTTTGCGATGCATACAGCACCTCCTTTCTAAAGGCAATCAATATGGTTATGAACGGCTGTGATAAATTACGGGCTCTGAAGCTACAGAGGGAGGTTTTTTGCAAGGGTGTATAAATCAGGTGGTATTGGCGTTCCATGGGGCCCGTACACCACAGTAAATCTGCCAGGGTTGGATGGGCACAGGGCTTGCATTAGCAGTTTTGGGGCTGTCTGCTAAACTCCTGTTTACCCGGGGCATCAGTCAGCCTCGTCTTTGTTATAATTCTATATTTGATGGAAAGCCATAAAATATGCCACTTTATTCCCCTCCCCATGAGTCAGGCTCCCTTGGTCCCCAGAACTGAGTCTGATGGTTTCTTCTGCTGTGTGCACCTGTGTATGTGTGTGTGTGTGTGTGTGTGTGTGTGTGTGTACATGTTTGCATGTGCCTGTGTGGCTATTTATTCAAGAACATAATTCAGGGACAGGGCTGCTCCTGTTGACACAGATGAAAGGAAATTTTTATCAGGGAGAAATCCCAGCCTACCCTTAGCAGGAGAACTTGATGAGGAGATATTTTGCCAGATTTGAAAAGCATTCTCACTCAGAAGCTATCTCCAAGCCCCAGCTACTTTGTGAGGGGGTCACCATGACTCTAGCCTCAGAATTGTACTCGTTTGGGCTTTCCTGTAAGTTCTGGGGTCAGGCTGGCTAGATGTTGCAGTAGGGAGCAAAGGCAAGAGGCTGCCTGAGGAAAGGAAGAAAAGACAGAGTCCAGCCCTGGTCTGGGACTTTCTGAGCTCGGCCAGCCTTCTTGAGGCAATCTGGATCCTGAAGCCCTGCTGGTCCCAGGGTAATGCAGATGCCCATCCCTCTCCTTTTCCTTCCTCTGTTTCTTAAGGGCCATGGAAGCCACAGGGTGGGTCTGGGATATGGCTGATGCCTCCTTAACCCACTGCCTAAGGTGGTGCTGCCACCAACTAAGGAGACCTCCAGGTGCGACACCCTTCTCTTCCCGCCCCATGGCCAGCATTGCTTTTATAATAAAGGCACAGCAAAATGGCCTCAGTGGCAGTCACCATCTGGGATGAGGCAGATAAAACACAGCAGCATAGAGGTAGCTTTAGAGGTAGCTGAAGGGCTCCAGATTCTTCTTTTTAACCAGAAGCCATATGAGTGTGATTGCTCAATGGTTGGATTTCCTATCATGCTCGTTGGGGTGACCAGCTGGACAGTGGCCTATCACCAATACTTGGGGTCTTCTTGGTGGCTGTCACACAGTGTGACTTGCCAAGTAGGGACAGTTACCTTGTAAGTGTACTCCATCTAACCTGTTTTCCCTGACTCACCAATGTGCATGCTGCCCACTTCCCACCCCTGCCCAAGACACACCCCACTCCCCTTCAGCTCCCCCTTCTGGGCAGTGGACAATCACCACCTGCCCAGCTTTGCCTACCTATCTGCTCCTCACACCTACAGTGAGGGGGACTCGGATGTGGACTCAGAGCTGGAGGACCGGGTCGACGGGGTCAAGTCCTGGTTGTCAAAAAACAAGGGACCTTCTAAGGCAGCTTCTGATGATGGCAGCTTGAAGAGTTCCAGGTAAGTACGTGGCCTTGGGCTGGGAGAAAAAGCCACCTTGGGCTACCAGGAGTGGATGAGCAGTGCCTTGGTGCCAGGAAGACAGACCTCACACCATCTGTGTCACCCTCCTGGCATGAGGGGCCCAGGTGTCTCCTGACCTGTGGAATGTGCCCAGGAAGAGGCGAGCTTCTTCCGAGCCAGGCTCTGTCTCCCTTATTTTCCCTAGGTAATGTTTTCCTGTGAGGTTCCGGATTCTAGTGTAGGTTTAACTTCATCCTCATTTATTTATTCAACAAATGTCAATGAAGCCACCTCATAGTTTGGGCCCTTGGAATCAAGACTGAGATGGATCCAGCTCTGGATCTCTGTGTCCTTATAGAAACAGCAATGGAAAACTCACTATGCCTCAGAGTCCTGTCATAGCCACGTCCACATTTCTCTCTCTCTGCTCATTCTTTGCTTTCTCTAATCATTTCACTGCCTGCCCAGAGGCTTCCTGATAATACACATCCAAAGGTGAAACTTGCTTCACTATTTCTAGCCTGTCATGATCTCCTGATCATATAGACAGCTACCTCTGTCTTTTTGAAACAGGGTTTCGTTATGCAGTTCAGGCTGGCCTTGAGCTCACTTTGTAGCCCAGGCTGGTCTTGAACTCTTGATGATCCTCCTGCCTCAGCCTCCCGAGTGCTGGGATTACAGGTGCGCACCACCACGCTCAGCAGACGGCTACCTGTGGAAGCCCAGGCTTCCCCCTTTCCATACCAACTGGCCAGTATAACAGCAGGGAGGAGCAACTGTCCTCAGCTCCCACTCCTCCTATGGCCATGTCTCTGCTGGTAGTACCTCTCTTATATACATACACACACACACGCACGCACGCACGCACGCACGCACGCACGCGCGCACGCGCGCGTGCCTCCCGTCCTGATCCTCCAAAGTGCACCCCGCAGCCCCTCCACAAGACTGCTGGTGGGCTGGGTAGAAAAGGTAATATCCTTCCCCCTCCTCCAGCTCCGCACAAGGCCCCTTCCCCAGATCCAGCCCCTAACAACCAGCATGCCACAGCTCCCTCTAATTGACTTAATTTATTCGGCCAAACAACATTTTGTTATTGCAGATAATGCCGCCTTCCCCACCCTACTGCCGTTCACCACGGCGTGGCACGAGGCTCCAGGTAGTTGACAATGAAATAAATTGAACTAAACGTTTTAGAGGGGGAAAAGTGATGAAATAGAACAATAGTCTAATTTACATGACATTCTCCATGAAGCTATTTTCACTGACGCAAATTATTTTGCTTCATTTCCTCTACGCTCTCGCCACCACTTTGCCAGGGCTGCTGTCATTTTCTCCTCCTTTCTCCTCCCTCCCCCCTGTCTTTATTCTCGAGGTTTAATTTCTGTTCCTCTTCTCTCTCCCCTCCCCCGCCTTGCATCTACTGGGACTCGGGTCCTCTCCTTGGGGCTTCACATCCCCCTTAGAACGGGCCTAAACAGCCTCCCGAAGGAGGGCAAGGGAGTGGAGGAGAGGCCGGCCTCTGCACTGAGCTCACTCAGCTACCGCAAGAGGCTCACCCTGAAGGACTCCATTGGGGGCACAGGGGACGAGGACTCGCTCTTCACCACCCTGAGCGAGCGCGCTGCCTCCCCCGAGAGGCCCCCCAGGAAGGCCCGCACAGGCCTGAGGGAAGAACCAGGCCAGGACAAGAGGTCCAAGGAGCCAGACGACTGTGGCTCCATCTTCTCAGAGACCGGGAGCCGGGCCAGCAGGGGGCTGGAGAAGCGGTGGGGCTCAGACTTTGACCGAGCCTCAGCGGTCTCTGCACCGGTCAGCAGGGCTTCCTCAGCCACACGCCGTGGCTCTGGTGAGGAAGGAGCCCGCTCCTCCCTCAGCTTCTCGCTGTCGGGCTCACCCAGCTCCCGCCGCAGTACCTCCCGGCTGGACAGCCTGTCGAGGACCTTGAGTCCTTCCCAGAGCCAAACCTCAGGCCTGAGCCGAGAGAGCCCAGACTCTCGCCTGTCCCTGGGCCGGAGCTGCCTGGATGAGTGGGACGAAGGAGCCAGTGTGGCCTTGAGTGAGGCACACTCACAGTTCAGCCACCCATCGCTGGCCCGCAGTCTGTCCGTGCCACCCCGGCCACGTGGCTCAGCCTCCACCACTGATGAACCTCTCAGCTCCGGTGTCCGCTCCGGCAGCCGTCACTCCTACCTGGACCCAGACCTGGAGGCCGCCATCAACGAAGTCTTGAGCTACAAACCTGTCGCATTCCAGCGGAGGAGTCTGGAACCTGACTCTGAGGAGGATGACCAGAAGAGCATCCGAAGTACCCGGAGTGCCCAGCTGGACCTCCCAGAGCGAGGCGCCAGCATCCGCCGCTCTGCCTCTGCCGCTGACGTCTCTGGGTCACGTGGTGGCCACAAGAGCCGGAGCAAGCGCAGGAGCAGAAGGAGAAGCTCCAGCTCCAGCTCCAGCACCAGCTCCGAGGGTTCCTCAGAGCACAAGCGGCGGAAGAAGGGGCGCTCTCGGAAGAAGAAGTCTAAATCAAGAAGGAGAACCAAGACAGAGTCCGAATCCTCCTCATCCTCATCCAGTGGCTCCACTGTCTCAGGCCACAGCCGCTCAAGTGTGAAGAAGGGTCCGGCCGCGGGAAGTGAGGAGGCTGAGCGGCGGTCCAAGAAGGAGGAGAAGAAGCGCAAGAAAGAGGTGGACAGCCTGATGATGCGCTACCTGTACCGGCCCGAGAGCGACTAGTGTAGTAGGTGACACCGGGCGTGGAGTGCAGCATGGTGTGTCCCACCCAGCGTGAACTAACATGCTCCCTGCCCCACTGGCCACCCCTCAGGCCCTCCCTGCATTCCTCTTGGGCCAGCCCGGCCTTGGAGAGCCCCCTATCTACCTCAGCAGGGACCAGAAAGATGGTTAGTTCCTGAGTCCTGAGCCAAATTAGCTGAACTTTCTGGGAATATTGATTATATAGCTGTTACTTCCTAACTCCTTACCCTCAGCCAGGACCCAGCCTGCTGTGCCATATTTTATACATTTAATTCTCACAACAGCCTCATAACAAGTGTCTGATGAGCCCTGTTTCATAGAAGAGAAAGCCAAAGCTCAGAGAGCTTAAATCACTTGTCAGAGTCACACAGCTGGGAAGCAGTGTTGCCAGTAGCTGAATGGGATCTGTTTAACTCCAACACTCTTACCCTTAACTGCTTCAGTGGCTCAAGGCAGAATACACACGTGAAATGTGGGTGCCAGGCAGCACCCCTATGAGAACTTTCACCCATGCATGGCCTTGTCAAGCTGGGCCCTGAAAGGATCCTAGCGGGTACCCCACTGTGGGTTGGTGCATCCATAGCCACAACATAGTATGCGGCCTTTTGCTGTGCTTTCCCCAGCTACCAAAGCCACCTTCCTCCCTGGCATGGATCTCCAGCCTAGGAGGACAAGGCTCATAAGGCTGCAGCCCACACGGCACCACACCCAACAGCAGACCCAGGAGATGCCTGACGCTCTCCCCAGCTTCCCACCCGCACACAGCCCACACATGGGCGTCACCTCAGTTCTGCTCATCTTGTAAAGCTCTAATGAATAGAAATTAGCAGCTGCTGAGTGACAGCCCCCTCCTGGCTCTCCTGCCTCCCCCAGCTCTTCTCCCTGTGGGGAGTTAGGCCCTTTATGCCCACACCCCCACTGTGGAAGAGAGGCAGAGCCTGACTCACTGGAATCCTATTGTTGCCAGTTTCCCTGGTGGGCGGTGACATTTTGGATCACCCCAGCTATATGAAGTGTTTTCGGCATGGTACCCTTCAGGCCAAGCTTGCTGCTTCCCAGGAGGTACAACCTCAGCATGTGGCCCCCTGGGGCACAGGCGATTGTTTCCCAGATGCATGAACTAACACACACCTGTCGCATGCTTGTGCCTCGGAGCAGCTGGACAAATGCACTGACTTTGGATGAGTGTAACAAAAGCTGACCATCCCTTTAAGGGATGGAGCAAGTGGAAGTGAATGTTACCCATAGCTGTCTGGAGATGGGTGATAGGATGGGATTGGGAATGTCGGGGAGGGGAGATAGAACTTGAACCCAGACCAGGCACATGGCCAATTCATCCCTGAGTCCAAGCTGTTCTAAAACCAAGCCCGAGGTCTACACACAGCTCTGTTGCTTCACCCATGCGGCAGATGGTTGCACAGGGCTCTGGGGAGAGCAGGAAGCATCTCAGTTGCACTAGAGAGTAGTTGTCAGCTCCATATGAGAAAAGACAAGAGTCACAATATTTGGTCTGCCATCTCAGCCTTCCCCTTAGCAGCCTTGCTACATGCCCTGCACCCTGGGGCAGGAAGTCAGTGATAGATAGAAACAGAAATCTAGAAAGCATTAAAAAAAAAAAAAAAAAAAAAAAAAGGCCAGGCCTTTCTACACCCTGCCTAAGGAAACACTGGCCTCACTGGCCATCCCACACTGACTGGTGACTGACAGATTTCAGATCCCAATGCCCTCAGTCCACTGTCACCCCTGACCTGACAGCCAGCAAGAACAAAAAAGCAGAAAGCCTGTTTCTTCTTCAGCTCAGTTCCTCTTGTCCGCCAGGACAGCAGGAGTGGTCCTGCATCCCCTTACTCCCCGCGCACCGAGGACTGGATTCACCATTGCTTGAGTGGCCTCCACCCAGAACTTAGCCAACCAGCACCGAGCTGGATCAAAAAGGCAGGGGAGGGAAGGCCTGGCTGGCACTCAGCACTCACTGACTGTGGGGTGGATACACTGCCAAGGATTGGGGCAGGGGTGGGGCAGAGCTGAAGCCTAGCTTCCCATCTGATGATGCGAATCAATGAGAATTCAAGAATTCAGAACCCAAGTGAAGCATCCTAGCAAAGTCAGGGGAGGGGAACTGCTACCCTGGGCTCTCTCCCAGCAGGAATTAGCTTATGTACCAAATTGTTTGTGACAGCGCTGAGCAGGAGACACTGGCTTGTGGGGAGGAAGGCTTTTTAAACAATTTGGTTAAAATGTTCCAGGTGCCAGCCTTGACTCTTGCCCTGGGGAGGAGGGGAGCGGCCTGCTGTTGGCCTGCTGATGGCTGTGACAGTAGAAGCCACTGAGGAGACTGGCTGAAGAGAGTGCAAGGTAGAAGCCAGGGCATCCTGTGGATCCACAGCTTAGGAAAGAGCAAAACATAGAGTTTACCATGTCCCTGACGGCCTCCACTCCTGCCTAGTGTCAAAGTGGAAAGTGTAGAAACCTAGTTGTTATTTCCCCAGGTGTCTAGAATGTGGGCACAGGAATGGGGGGTCTGGAGCACAGAGCCATGATTGAGCAATTCACACTGGCTGGGGCTGTCTGGCAGCACCTTATTTGCATCTGGAGCCCTGGCATCTGCCTTGCCACCCTCCGTCCACAAAATATTCCCACTGTCCTTCCTCAGAGCCAGGCATTCCTTTGCCTAACAGCAGAACTTTAGCACTGGGTGCCCAGAAATTCTGTGTAGAAAATGAAAACAAAGCCAAGCTCCCCCTAATAGAGAATTCAGATAACCTCATAGCTAAAATAATCCCCATTTTTTTCCTGTGTTGAACAGTTATCATTGCGCTTTATAATTTTGTCCCAGAGATACCTCAGAGTCCTTAAGTGCCTTGGGCCCATCAAAGTAAGGCTCATTTATGTTCAGTCTAGTTTGTGTTAAGTGTGTTTTGTGCTATTCTGGTTTCTTTAAAAAATTGTTAATTCATTCATGAGAAATAGATAACTATTAGCCAGACTGCCCCAGTCCTGAGCCATTTTGCATAATTGAACATGTATTCTCTCAAGCTCTTCCTCCCATCCTGAGGGTGGAGAGGCACAGGCACTGAGAGACCTGTCTGCACACGCTCCTGGGCACTCACCCAGGGCAGCAGGAAAATTCAGACTTGGTCTTGTTTCTTCTGTTACCCAGTCTAGTGACAGAGTCGAGTCCTCCCAAGGCTTTCAGGTTCCAGTCTGGGTTTGTGCTGGCTGCAGGACCTTGGGCAAGATGTTTCATCTCTTTGAACCAGCTTCCCTGTCATATTCTATGCATAGGGTTGCCTGCAAGAATAAGACACCATTTCTAGAAGGTCTAGGCCTGTGTCTCATACACAGGAGGACCCAGTGAGCGAATACTTTCTTCTGGATCTCTCGCCTACACCTTAGAAGAAGTTAAGAATGTGGTTCTTCTTTCCAGAAGCCTGTTTCTCCTCTTGTGGCTTGGTAATAGAACTTTAAAACGAAGGACCCTCCTCAAATTCTCAAATCAGAAATGTAGGCCATAGGGATCATGGAATTACTTTTTCCCCAAGTAGAATGTCTCTAGGACCTGGAAGCCAATCTGTGTCTCTCTGCTGCTCAGAGCACAGGGCAGCAGCTTTAGGTGCCTGACTGTGTGCAGGGCACGGGTAGGGGTGAAAGCTGTATTTTCTCCAGTGGTGTTGGAATTACAGTGTTACAGTGCAGGCTGGAGGAGTAGGGAGGCGGCTCCAAGGCTTTGGGAAAGAAAAAGGGTGAGTGCAGCCGGGAGATGAGGCCCCATCTTCCCTTGTTAGATGTGGTGATCTTGTTCCATCTGGTGATGCTTCTTGTCTTTAGAGGAATAGCTAGAGGCTTTCAGAGCCAAGGGCCTGATAAAGACTCTATAGGGGTAGGGTTTTTATTTTTCCCATTGGGCCCCCTGAAACAGATCTCTTCCTGGTCTCCATTTCTTGGGGTAAACAGAGGATGCCATGGTTAAGGGTTTCTACCTTCTGCTCTTCTCAGAAGGAATCATTTTAGGAGTAACTGACCTGGGAGATGTCCTGCCTTGCACACGTTACAATCCCGTAATTCCCGGACCTCCAGTCTGCATCCGTGTGGTTCACGGACAGCCTGCACCTGCATCTTCTGGGGAGGGAACTGAAAATGCAGAACCTCTGGGTCCCACCCAAGAGCTACTAAGTCAGAATTTCTGAGAGGAAAGACCCAGGAATGTGCTGCTGATTCTTAAGCCTGCTCAAGTCCCTAGCCCACTGCTCTCCAGCATCCCTCTCATAGGATTTTTAAAAGCTTTCCAAGTCAAAACAGTGTGCTCTTTCCACTGAGTACTTGTAGTAAGCCAAGGAAAGTCTTCACTTAGCAACATCTGGTTTCTTGGAGTGCTGACATGGCTCTGTGGGCCTCTCCAGAACCAGAGGCTTTGGTGCCACAGCGTAAGAGTGTCATCCATCCATGACCTTGCTCCTTTCTCCCTGCAGCCCCACCAGCCACTGGAAGTCCCCTCCCCCTGGCCAGTCAGATGATGAGCACGACCTTCCGGACAGCACCTCCAGACCGCGATACTCCCACAGCTATCTGAGTGACAGCGACACAGAAGCCAAGCTGATGGAGACCAACGCATAGCCCAGGGGAGTGGCTCACGGCCCTCCCACCCTGGCTGCCTCTGCCGGGAAGTGGCAGGGCACCAGTTCCTCCGCCTGACTGATCTGCAAAGGAAACACCCCGACCCTCTGCCGTCAGAGGGACTGTCTAGGCTGTGGGCGTCTGAGATCTCCACATGGAGGTGGGGGAAAAAGGAGTTTCTGAAAAGAGAACTTTTTGCTCCTCCCTGTTCAAAAATGCCACTCAAAGCTTCTACCCTGGGCCCCCGTGGGCAGTGGTGGGTGACCTGTCACTGCATGGAGCCAGCAAGTTGACCTCCATCTCAGCCCCCTGCTCAGGGACAGTGGACAGTTTGCCAGCGGGGCCACTCACGGGTGCTGGGTCCACAGGGAGGAGTCAGGGGAGGGAACAGCCAGTCCTTCCCTCTGATCTGGGGTGAGGGCTTTCTCCTCTCAGTGCCTGCTGTCTATTTACTTTTTAATTTAAATACCCAACCTCTCCATCTCAGCTGCATCCCTGAGAGTGAGAGGGGCTGCAGCGGCAGCTAGGCCCGGGGACTCGGGAATCTCCTCTCCATCTTCACTGCTCCAGGCACCCCGGGAGACTGGTGGGGAGGCTGTCAGGTGCTTCTGGGTTGGGCTAAGCAAGCTGTCGTGCATAGGTGCCATTGGCACTTCCAGCCCCACCCGCCCTCGCGTCTCATCCGTGTTAAGTGCAATGACCTATTTAAGAGTGAACCCATTCCACCTATGCCGCGGCGGGCCTGCCAAGCACTGCGTCCCTCCCTCTGTCCACGTTGCCTACTGTAAGCTCCACCTGAAAGCAAAGGTCTTGAGGGGAGGCTTGCGGTGGGATCAACCGAAGATGGGAGCTTTGCCCCATGCTGGTGTGTGTCACACACGAATCCTCACCCTGTCCTGAGCCTATGTCATCTTTCCTCTTCCCCCAGACATGGCAATAATCTGTCTGGAGGTCCCAGCTCCCCTTTCAAAGGTTATCCTGTCACCTCCATCAGACTCGGGGGCCCACAGGCAGGGCCTGCTGCTGCTCCAGTCTGCTGTCCCCCTTCTCTCCTGCAATTGGTTTGTACTCACTGGGCTGTGCTCTCCCTGTTTACCTGATGTGTGGAAATAAAGGCCCCTTTCCTCCTGGCTACACCACGTTTCCTGCCTCTTCCTTCAGGCCCGGGGAAGGTCACTGTGCAGTCACTGTGGGGAAGAAGCAGGATTCTGATGGGGATGCAGGGGAGGCCTGTTCCTGTGTCTGACCAGTGCCACTAGAGTCTTGGCACGTCCTCTGTGGCAAGCGGAGGTCATGGGACAAGGAGACTGATCAAGACACAGCCCCACCTGTGGATTATAATCCAAGCTTTACCTTCTGTAGCCCCAGAGGGAATGTTGCTGTCTATGTGACTGTTAAATCCCACCAACTATTCTCTCTTTTCTTCTCTCCTCCTCTCTCTCCTCTCTCATCTGTCTTCTCTCTCTCTCTCTTCAATTCCTTCTCATAGCTCAATTTTATTTTTTTATTTATTTATTTTTTTTTGCGGTACCAGGGATCAAACTCACAACCTTGTGCTTGCCAGGCAGGCGCTTATGCCACTCAGCTATATCCCCAGCCCCTCATAGCTCAGTTTTAGTCATTCCAAAGGTGAATTTTATTTTATCAAACTTGACAGGACTCGCTTTGGCTCCCAACCTGGCCTTGGCCAAAGGGCAACTTAAATAGGCGGGGAATGCTGTCTTCTATGCCCTGTTCGGTCCCTGTCTGCAGGCCCAGTCCATGTCTTGTCCCTTTAAGAGCTAAGAGGCAGCTCATGTCAAAGGGTAAAAACATGACTCTCACTTCCCCTTCCTCCCTCTCTAACACTGCCAGTTATAATCCCTGAATTTATCACATGCTCTGGGCAGGGTGTCAGACAGCCCTCAGATCAGGGCTATTGGGATATCAGCCACCCAAAAGGTCAAGAAAGGAGAAAACTCACCCCGAAAACAAGTGTGAAATGGATCCACCCTAACAAAGGTCGCTGCCCTCACTGCTGCCCCAAAATAGAAGAGTAAAAATAAAGTTACTTTAAAAAAGGAAAGGAAAAGCTATTGACTCATGTTCAATTCTGTCACTCACATCTTGTACTCCTGCTTTTATTTTCTCTCTCTCCCAAGAGCTAGTGTGACAAATTCCCTGCCATCTGGCGACAAGTTCCCAACTCTTCACCCAAACCAAATCCAGCCTCTGGTTCACTGGAGAGCCCACCATCCAACTCCAGTAGCCTGGCCTACAGTAAAAGGCTTTGCTCAACTCAGAAGACTTGTATCATTCATATATTCATTTGCTCAACAGTTGAGGAGTATTTCATAACTTTCTGTTGTGATCTAGGCACTATCCTAGGTGTTGGGCATGGATAAAGTCCCTTCCTTCCTAAAGTGGGTAAATTCTAGTGGGGGACTGAGGCACAAAATATGCGCTGCACCTGCTAGTACGTACAAGCTTGAGATGAGCAGAGAGGAATAAATCATAGTGCTTGTCCTCCTGGGGCTTGTGGGCTAGGGCTGGAGCAGATCCATGTAGAATAAAGCATAGCAGTCATATTATGGAGGGAAGCATTCTCGTTAGGGGAGCAGAGGGCCTGGGAAGGATTCCAGAAGGAGCTGGCATTTGGGGCTGGGACTAGGACAAAGGATAGTATTTCCCACAGGTAGAGATTGCTGGGACAGGTGTTTTGGAAAGAAAGCGTAAGCAAAAAAAAAAAAAAGAAAGAAAGAAAAAGAAAAAAAGCTTAAGCAAAGATCCTGGCGTAGGGAAAGAGATGCAGGTAGAGCATGCCACAGGCTGGCTGGGGAAGCTGAAGGACAGCACCTCCAATGACCAATGCTTTTCCAAGTTTCAGCAAAGCCCCTTGGCCTATTGACTCCAGGCTGGGAAAGAGACAATTCCCTCAGCACCAACTCCCAGAGGAGTCCAGGGGACTAAAGGCCACCAAAGCCCACCTTCCGTTTGGGTGCACCTGAAGAGCGCTGTAGGCTCCTGCCCTCACCTGTACACGCATGGCTTCGCAAGCATCTGAGATGAATGTGACTCCTCTGAAACAAAGCCAATCTGTCCTGGTGCCAAGCTCAAAGCCACCCTGCTAGATCCTCCTCTCTAATCTCAACCCCTCAGGACTCCTCCCACTGCTGAATAAGAGGCAAGGGTGGGAACCAAAGCCCTGCAGGACTCCCCATGGTACCCAGAGATTACAGTAGCAGGCAGTGACCCCGGAGCTCCCTCCTTTTGTCCTTGTGTCCCCTTGGCAGATTATCCCAGTTGTCCTCCCATCCCCCGCCCCCGTGCCCGGTGGCACAGACACTTAGCGATTTGCTCCTTAATTGTCCCCCAGCTAGGCTGCGCAGATGCCGCTCTTTAATCTCTCCTGATAAATGAATCGCGCTGCTCCTTTAATCATATGTTCATATCCAAGCCAATTTGAATCAATTTGGCAGGAAGCGTGTTGCAAGAGATGCCATGACTGCTGTTTCTCCCCCTAGGGTCCCGGAGCCTGAACAACTGCTGTCCTCATCCTCAGCAAAGAGCCCAGGAGGCCCATGGAGGAGAGACGCTCCTTTCTGAGTGGTGGGGACTTTTAAAGTCATCTCGTTCACTCCCGTCCTACAAGCAAGCTGTGTGGGACCCGAGGATGGATTCCCAAAGGCCTCAGAGGTGGGAGGAAGGGAGATGAGTCCATAGCCTTGCTTGGTCACTGATTAAAGGGCCCCATTATCATTCCCGTGAGAAAGTGCTGCCTTAAATCTAACCTTAATCCTTTCTGTTCCCTTTTCATTTTCTCTGAGCTGGTTCTCGGAGAAGCTGGAACACTTCATCACCTTTTATATAGCAACATTCCAGATCAGTCTCTGATCATCCGTCCTCGTCCTCGCCTGCTACCGTCGGCCACCCCCACTCCTTTCATCTTCCCCTACAACCCAGACTTATCTAAAACCTCCAGCCTGGTGGGCAGTCCCGGACATGCGTGGTGAGGTGCCGAATTATGCTGGGTTGGGGGCTTCGGCCTTTTCGCCTCCCAAGTGGTGTCCACGTGCAGCAGCAAAAGTAGGCTAAGCCTGCTCGGATGAAGGCTTCTGCCACTAGTGCTGCGATCTTGGAAGACTGGCTTAGCAACGCTGGCCTCAGTTTCCCCATACATGAAATAAGATCGTATTCGTGGCAACAAAAATCTTTGGCTCCTAAATTCAGGGCTCCTCACTGTAGCCAACAGCATCTCCTGCCCCACTCCTTTATCACCGGGGTAGAGTCAGAAGGACCCCGAAGGTGTGGGAGGAACATCTCTGGCGCGAGGTCCGAGGTCAGCCTGGGGTTGGTTTCGGTGCAGTCGCCCCTTTGCACTGTAGAGACCCCGTTCATTTCCTGTTCTCTTTCCCTCACCCCTTCTCAGCAGGTGCTCTGGCATTCACTGTGAAACTAAGGAGTCAGAGCAGAACCTGACCTCTTTTGCCCCCAGCCCCGCGGCCGCAGTGGCCTCCGGTTCCGCCCGGTCTGGAAGTTCTTCCCACCCTTCCCGGAAACCACGCCCCTTAAAAGGGCAATGTTCCTGTTGTGGCCCGTGTTTGTTTTCAGTGGTGCTGGGGATCCTGCCCAAGGCCATTTGCGTGATAGACAAGAATCTATCACTAAACCACATACCCAGCCCTGCAGTGTTAGTTTTGTCTTAAATTGGCGACAGAGCCGAGTCCGTGGAGTTGTCCTTTCATAATTACAGCCACATAAGGCCCAGTCTGCATTTAGCAACATAGCAATGTTGTTTCCCTGCCCTTTTAAGGGCTCCTGGCAGTCCTTGACCAGAGTTGAGCCGGAGCTGGGGGGTGGGGGTTCCCCAGCCCGTCAGTAATGACCTGTGCATTGATGAGGAAGGTTATAAAACCAATGAACAGTTCCTGCTTGTTGAGCACCTACTATGTCCTCAGCACTTGT